TAGCTAAGTTCTCCCCAAACGAGCTTGATGGGCCGAATGGTTTGTAAATTTCTTATGTTCTTATGTTCTTATGTTCTTATGTTCTTATGTACAGGGGAAGTACAGTGGTTTAAGAATCATTCATAAGGTACAGTATAAGGCAGTTCTTCCATTTATGTGCAAATGATACATAAAGTGACCGGTGCAGATGGTTTGCAGTTGTTCAGTGGAATTCTACAATTGTATGTAGTCATGGTAAGTAATAAACGGGGGAGTATTTTTTTTTAGAACCCCAGATGCTACTTGAAGTTTTAAGAGCTGTTAAATATGACGGGTGACATTTTAGTTTCACAATTTTACCCCTTACACTCATACAAGATTGAGAAAACAAATTACACAACTATCTTAGTTATAGTTTATCCAGGAGACATTTCTTAGACTTGTTTGTTTGGAAACATTCTACCAGTGTTTCTCAATATATGGGAATTTATGTAAAATTCCCAGCATTTTGCAACCCTAGTCTAGATCAGTGTGTTTCATCCCAGTCCTCAGGAAGTGCCAGACAGTCCACATTTTTGCTACCGGGAGCATCTGGGGGTCCTCAAGCAGCAAAATGCTGGAAATTTTACATTAATTCCCATATATTGAAAGACACTGGTAGAACGTTTCTATAATATTCATGGTAATTCCCAGGAACTTGGAATATATCCAAAATTCCCCATCTTAACTAGTAACATCAGTTTGTCCAGCTTGTGGGGCAGCGAATATCTGCCTCCTGTTACAGAATGGAAGGTACTGGCGTGATCATTCTGTCACTGACATACTGTAAGCACTCCACCTACTTGAGAACGACGGGGCCGCACTGGGATGGGGGGATTTTAGCGCACAGGTTCTGCAGGTCCAGCACCTCCCCGGGGGAGATCTCAAAGGTCAGCTTGGGGCTGGAGTCGGCCAGCCAGGTGTAGTCCACGGCAGAGCCACGGCGACGGATCTGCATCGCCCGCTCCTGGCGGATCCGCTCCGCCCTCTTCACCAGGGCCCCAAGCTCCAGCATGAGTGTGTTGGTGACCAGTTCTTCTGTGGAGCGCTGGCCTGGTACTTTGGGTGCTGCAGAGAGCACTGCTGACCAAGGAAACATCTGGGGGGTTGGGGGGGGGGATATTGACTGACTGAAAGCTCTCTGCCTAGCTCAGGAGCTATTTAGAGATGAGGATTAATACAGCTTTAACTAAAAATAAGCATAATGCTACACTCCTGCAAATGAAACATATAAAGCTGTAACTACAGAAAGACATTTCTACCCTTGAAAAAAGTGCACAAAACGCACACTTTAAACACAGATAAATGCCTCACGTGTGACAGTGCGATGCTTTTTGACTAGTACGGCCCTGTTAGGGAACTGCAATAGTCCTGCATATAAACCACACACACCTGCTCATGTTAAAACCCTGCATATATAATATATAGATGTACATAGATTTAAAAAAGTAAACAGGGAAAGAATGAAAAGTAATAATTACTACATCTTACCTTAGTTGAATTTAGTAATATTTATCCAGCATGAATGCTCAAATGCAAATCTCAAATTATTGCTCTTTTTTCCCCGTTGATAGAGAAGCATAAAAAATAACATCAGTAGTAATAAACACAAATGCCTCAAGTACAGTATTACCCAGCAGCCTGTAGTGCGTAAGCAGCTGGAGGGTCAGTGGATGAATGCTGGATTGTTATCTCTTCATTAACTACAAGCACATACACATCCTATAATTGTTAGAGGAATCCCAGACAGTCTGTTTCTGCATGGCAGGCTCTCACAGTATACACACACGTTCGGTGGAGTAAGAAACGTAATCCGCTATTAATACTGAGGCACGGCAAGACCTTATCTACCTGATCAGCACTTTTATCATGCAGCCCACATGTATCTGCCGTTCATGCGCAATGCGATGCTAGTCCTGTGCGTGCTGGCTGACGGAGCAAGTGGCACACCTACCTGCATGCCATATGGACCCCCCCCCCCCCGACAGCTACTTCACGCCCAGCACGTACTTCTAAAGCCACCGTGACACCCTCCATGGGAGCTGGCTGGCAGGATCTGAGCCACCCACACTGCAGCCAACAATCTCAGGACCTCCAAGACCAGTTGGTTACCTGTCAACTGTTTCATACCTGGAACATAAGAAAGTTTCTTTGATTTAATCCAGTATAATTACAGTGTCACACTCATAATAATTAGTTGTAATTTGTAAAGTCAAACTGTGTGGTAAAAGCAAAAAGAAAAAAAAACCTATTATTGATTTATAAGACACAACTGTTTTAAAAATATAAATGTAGAAACAAAATTAATCAGATTATCATCTGGTTGGATGGTTAAAGTGATCAAGTCCAAGTCTATTTAATCTCTTGTTATGAAATCATGTCCATAATAGATTACATAAGAGCTGATCCTGTGTATATCTGCTCTTTATTTAGTTGTGTTCCAACCAACTGAGTTTTGTTCTGAGGCCTTGTGAAACAGTCACAATAATAACTCTAACTTCTATTGCTGATAAAGATCTTGTATGTGGAGTTTCACAAGTTCATGAATACAAAAGAAAGCAAAATTTTATTTCCTTGGCTTCCTTGTGTACTTCAAACAAAAGGCAAGTTTATGTAAGTATTAACGTTGTGTACAACTTAAACATCGATTCAGTCATTTATTGAACGCTTTTAACTATGAAGCTTTATTAACTCCACAAATAAAAACATTGCCAGAATGAACATTGTTTAATAAAGTTTCGAATTTAAAGAGCTTCTCAGTCTTCCATCTTCTAATCACTTACCCAGTACAGGATCCTGGGGGCCTGGACCCTAACCTCAGACACTGAAGGGTACTAAGTACCCTGTGCTGAATGGCAGTTTAACATAGGCACCACTGACAGGTCAATTCAGAGATACAGAGTTGCCAGCTTGTTTAACTGCATGACTTCTCAAATTCAACCTTTACACAAATGGAGCAGGAATGGGATTCAAGACACGACACCCAAAGGCGTGATGTAACAGCACTACCTATTGAGCCCTCAAGCGCCTGACTTCCCATTCATACCTTATTGAATGTTTTCCTGGGACCTGGGTTGAAGCAATGGTATATTTGGTGTACTTCATAATCTCCAGGGAGTGGTACAGTGTTTAGCACTGTTACCTCACACCTGTGGGATATGGGTTTGAGTCTCCGCCAGGTTTCTGTGTGTGGAGTTTGCATGTTATTCCCACTGTCATCGTGGGGTTTCTGCTGTGGGCTCCAGCCCCCCCAGTCTGAAAACATGCTGAGGTTAACTGGAGTTACCAAATTGCCCATAGGTGTGCTTGTGTGGGTGACTGGTGTGTGAGTGTGCCCTGTGATGGGTTGGGGCCCCGCCCTGGGTTGTTCTCTGCCTCGCATCTGTAGCCTCTGAGAGAGGCTCTGGACCCCCCTGTGACCCCGAATAGGATAAGTGGTTATGGGTGACATCTCCAGTAAATAAATCAGTTAACCCAGCTAACAAGGAACATTCCCAGAGCTTTAGCCAATGTTATGTAAAAGTCTTCTCAACAATGTCAGAGAACGTTACGCTTATTTCCACATTTTACATTTTTACAAAAGTGGTCAATGTTACCAGGATAGTGTTATTACCTGAACATAATTTTAAGGGTAATTAGTGTTGAAAATGTTTTCTAATAAAAAATGATGTGAAAATACTCTATCTGCATACAACATCCAGCCTCCTGATTTGTGAACGTTCCTCGAACGAGAAATTGTTAGCTGGGAATTATTACACAAAAATGTCTCTCTATGATGGAGGTAAAACGCAAATAATTTTAATAAAAGCGTCATCTAAACAAATAAAACATGAAATAACGAACAATAGTATAACAAAGGTTGCGAGGTTGGGCTGCGCTTTTGTAAGGGTGCAAAGTGTTCCCTAAAGCTGCCGCCAGGTGTCGTCCGCGGGCAGCTTTTTCCAGACCCCCTAGTCTCGGCTGGCATAGCACGTCACCACCCTCCGCCTCGTGCCTGTGACCGATCACTAGCAGCGCAGCTAGCCGGGGGCGCGAGCTGGGACTGCATATTTATCCGGGCGCTGGACGGCGGGTTATTGACCGTTCGCTAGTCACTGTGAATGAACCGGTTTGACTAACGTGGCAAACTGAAGTAAACTCGAGAACTTCAGTTCAGGTGTGTAAGATTTTCAAGTTTATCCTAACTGAAAAGGAAGGCTTTAAACGGTAAGTGGACACAATTGTCTAGTTTACCGACCTTTTAATAAATGCGCGTGTCGTGATTGTCTATGAAATAAGGGCTGTTTTATAGCATTATCGAAATCTTCTAAATGTTTTCTTAGCTTAGAGAATTACAGGTACCCACCCGAAGCGATGTTTAACCGACCGTATCCACAAATAATATTGGCGTTGACTTCAGTTGTTCATATCGTGAGGACTAATGACAGCATTGTCTTTCTGTCGTGTGGCTCAGGCTAATGTTTGATGAGCTGCACGTAACTTGCTTTAACCTTAATTGACAAGAAATCTAATAGATTTAATTAATGCCCGTCGGCAGTTTTTATTTAATCATTAGAAATAAGATATTCTTTTTTTAATGCCTAACTAATGATTTCTTTCATGATAAGTTGAAAGTTATGATGATATCAACTGTTCAGGGCGACCTTGCAGCATATCACCGTAGTGCTCTTAATGCTAGTTTAATTTAAATAGTTTGCGTTATCTGACAACGAGCTGGTTTCTTAATGAAAAGCCTGATTGATGACGCTTGGTCTCCTGACTGACACGTTGGTTGGAAAGGGGATCGCTGAGCGGAGTCGCCACGCGGGGCGGCACGCGCGCACGACGCTGACCTGCGGTGGCACTGCAGTCTGTACGAGAGATGAACGTCGTTAAACCGACTTTACATTTTAGCGAATTTTAACATTCCTGCTATTTTCGTGTCCGACTCGAGAGATCTCCATTGTCTGCAGCCGCGAGCCAATGATAACCAACCATGCATGCTTCAAAACGCAAACAATTAATCTAAACTCTGCTTTTGAGTCCTCTGACACACACACACACACACAGATACACATATATTAGTGTCGTTTTTTGTATTAAAAATCCATTAGAAAGGGAAAGAAACTAATACCTATTATTAGTTTCTTGTTTCATGTTAAAGTCAGCTGCAATACAATAACAGTTTGACTCAACATTGTCTTAAACTGCATTATAAGTATCTAGATAGATAGATAGATATACTTAATATAGTACTGATATAGTTTCTCGGATGATCACATGGCTACCAAAACACGATAAACCTGTCGATTGTGGTTCTCCCAGCATGAACGTTAACTGATTGTATGCACATTTTATGTTTTCATACAGTATGTTTGTAGTTCTGTGCCATGTCTTGGCACTTCCATTTTAACTTTGCTTTAGCTTACGGTGGATATTGTTATGCAGAAATGCATGCCGTACACACAAAGATTATTCACAATGTTGATTGTCTTTATTCCATGTTCTTTGTTATTTTTCACAGTGCCTGGTTGTGCTTCCTTTTCAGGACATGTGGAAGTTTGGATTTATTTATTTATTGCATTCTAGTCCTGAGCTTTAAAAAATAAAATAAAAATAACAGTGGTGTCCAGTCATCTCTGATTCAGTGCTCTTCTGTTTTTTTGCTGTTGTTGTTGCAAAGCTCTTAAGTATTTCCCAACTGATTGTGCTTTAGCCCAGGAGAGAGAAGGTGTTCTATTTTGCACCATTATGTTTCCATGGGTACATAAACAAGGTGCAGAGTCACATTATAAATGTTGTCTGATTTGCTTATGCTTAGACTGACCCAAACAGCACATTGCATACAGATGTCCAGGTGGACCTAGCATCAAACTGCTACTTTGCATGTTGTCATGGGTATTGCAGTTTGTGCCAACCTTTTTCCTGATTTTTCCAGACTTCGGTGTCTTAGTGGGATGGCTTGACTTCTTGCTCCACCCGGCTGGGCACACAGCACCAGCAGCAGCTCTGTGAAACGCATGTGGTTCTGAGCTGTGCCGCGATGAGCTGGGCAGTAGACGACTGGAAGGCGGGGCTCTCGGGCCGGGCCCTGCAGAAAGTGCGGGAGCTGGAGTCCCAGCAGGAGCAGCTGAAGCGGGAGAAGCAGCAGAAACAGCTGAAGCTGGATAGCACAGAGGCTGCTCTCAGCAAGCAGAAACTTAAGGTATCTGTGTGTTTGGGCAGCTAGTGTACACTGTGTACATAGATATTGATATGTAAACACACAAAAGGAAATGCATGCCAAGGCTAGTTTAACAAAGGTAAAGGAAGTGTTTTACTTGACATATATTCTGAAATGCATTTTATTGGGGTTTTAGTCACATAGACAAGGAGACACTTAATGGTTTTGAAAAGTAATTGCATAGAATTAATAATGTATTAACTACTTGGATCATTTCTTTCCATCAGATTTCTCCACTTGATTTCTGCTGAAGCACCAAGTGTTTCATTACTTCAGTAGTAATTCAGTACTTCAGTCCAGAAGTTCTGTGCGCAAGGGTACAAAAAGCAGGGGAGGCTTTTGTTTAGAAGTGCAGTTCTGTAATCTGTATATAACTATAGAAGTTTAACACTCTTCCACCGCACCCCTGTCTACCTGCAGTATGATGAGGTACGCTCAGAGCTGGCAGTGGCCCAGCGGGACTTACAGAGCTCCCGGGAAGAAGTGCAGGCAGGGCTAAAGGCCCGAGAGCGCCTTTCCCAGGAGCTGCAGGTAAAGCAAGCCCAGGTGTGCAGCCTCGAGGGACAGCTGGATGCCTCCCGCACACTCACACAGTCTCTGACACAGGAGGTCAAACGGTGAGACTTCACAAAAACATTGTGGTGCAACCCTGCAGACTCTTTCTCTGTGTCAGAAATTATGTCACTAGCACACAAATCTTTAATTGTGGCCGCACAGCATCTATCAGTTGAATCATGTTTAACAACATTTCTGAAGAGAATGGTAGCCTGTCATGTGATGGTATGGAATGTGCATGGCTTGTGAATACAGGTGGTAAAGAGCAGGCCAGGTATTTCCTCTTCCTCTTTGCTATTTGAGACTAAATTGGGATTTGGAGGAGCGCCCCCCACAGTTCCCAGTTTGTGAGAGGCTGTTCTGATCCCCAGGCTGGAAGCGGAGCTTGAGAAACTGCAGAATGCCAGCAACTCTGTGGACTCAACACTGTTCTCCACTCCCTGCTGGAGCGTGTCCTCATCAAGGGATAATGGTGGCTACCCAGTTTTTGTTTCTCTCTCTTTCCTCTCATCTTGCTCCTCTCCCATCAGTATGATCCCTTAGTCTTTCATGTTTGGTTTATTGGTTTCCTCAAGGAAATCTTTTATCGCTTGACCCCTGTCTGATGCAGTTTTTGTGTTCTGCAGGCTTGCGATGGGAGGAGAGGAGTGAATACAGAGGAGAGAGTGAAATTAAAGCACTGCATTCCAGAGTATGAGCTAATCATTAATTTAAAGGCTTCTGACTGTCCATGGGCATGTTTATCTTGTCACCCTAACCTCTTTTTTTATGTTATCCTGCAGCAATTGCAGTTTGGTGATTGTAGTCCCAGATCACCGCTGGGGGGGACTATGTCCCCTCAGCAACCGCACAGCTCCACACCTATCCGCCAATCAACCCGACAGTCAAAATCCTCTAATTCCTCAGCTGTGTTTCCATGGGAACGAGAGGATGGTCCATCTACCTTTAGTGGAAGGCCTGTCTTGTCACTGCAGACCACAGAAAAAGTCAGTGATGTTCAATTTCAGCAGGACTGTGGGATGGAAAATGACCTCAGAAGGGAGATTGATGGTATGTCATGGCATTCTCTGTAGCCTTTTTTTACCATATTTAAAGATGCTTAGAAGAATTGAACTTTTTAACGGTAAGGAATGTTGGTCAGTTAGTTGTTTTTTATACTGAAGAAACAATAAGCTAAAGTGTTGTAGCTCTAATTATGATGTTAATTTATAATATGTACATCTACCTAGGGCTGGGCGACATGACAATATAAGATGTTATCTAACATTATTTCGATGCTATTTTGTTCCTCTGCAGAACTGTTTCATATGAACCAAAAAAAAGATTGCAAATTGACTAAATATGAGTGCCTACAATGTAAAGTAAAAAAAAAAAAGTATTTCAAATATTTAACTATTAGGTTGTTTAAAAGTTAAATCTATGGAGTCAATTTGCAGCCATATAGCGCTGCCCACAAATGTGTGTGCCGTAAGCAAAGGCACGTATAGGCACGTATATATTGGCAACAAAATTAATATTGAGAGATTTTTTCTCTGGCAATTTTTTTAAAATATACTTTTTGTGATGGTTCTTTTTTTATTTACGTTTCGCTTTTTTCAGCGCACTTTTCCTTTTTTTTCTGTATGGTCCGTGTGTTGCACTTGACAATATTTTTTTCCCTTTGTGCTGCATTTTTCTTTGTGTTTCACTATCTGGCCTCTTTTTGACATGGTATGGGTAGGCAAGACTTTGACCCAATCTGTACCACCTGCCTGATTTGTACCTTGCACGTCTGCAGCATTTTCACGCATCCGTACACCGCGTTACATTTTCTGGCAGTGCCTGATCTGTTCATCATGTCGTTGTATCACAAACCATGTTGTCTACATTTACAATCAGAAATTCAATCGATATAAGGATACATTATCAAGCTATTTTGTATGTAAAAATGTATCGAATACAAGAAAAAAATTCAATATGTAGCCCAGCCCTGCATTTTCAAGAGCAAGTGCTGTTTTGTACTTGATGAGGTCACACATCACTTCTGCATTATAGTACATGGCTGCATAATGGCTGTATAATACTATAAACAGTTTAATTTCATGACACTGTGCTATCTGTTAATAAATAACCAATTCAGCTATTTGGGAAAAATTAATAATCTGCAAATTGTTTATATGCTCTGTTATACTCATATTTGAATTGTCTGTTATCTGTATGTACCAGCGAAGTATTTCTCCTCCTTTTAAGTACAAATGTGTGTTTTAAGATAACATTTAAGTGGTCTGAACATTTCTAAGTGGCTGCAATCTATGTGTTTACTGAGTATGTGTATCTCTCCTATAATGGCACAGAAGCCTTTTGCTACTGTACCACCCTCAAGCGCATCCACATTACCCTTATCTGGTTTCCCTCACAATAGGGAGTAGGGGAATGGCATGACAATGCAGATGGGCTGGCCCTTCGGGGGGTTAATGCCAGTGTTGGATAGACTTTGCCAGCTGCTGAAATTTAGGAACCATATGTTTATATTTCCCTTTATTTCACATGAAAACATGGAAATATTTTACATTTGATACCCATGCAGGCCACATTCCAAAGTAAATATAGGCATTGTTGTTGTGGCCTTCAGTGTGTCTGTGTAATGACCCTTGCTACTGATTTGGAACCCTTTCCTATGTCTGTGAATCTGTCGCGAGTTTCCATTTCCAATGATGGACTTTCTTGTCCCAGTGTGTGTCGCCTGGCAGTTTCCTGTTGCCGTCATCATAGCCCAAACTGTAGTCGCCATAACAACGGGAGCACATGGCACTGTGGACACAAATTTGAAAAACAGCTCTGGTAAACAGATGCAGAGAGATATTTATATCCAGCATAGTAGTTCTGATGCACTGAAAGCCAGTTTACACAGACTTCAAACCGCTGTGCAAATGCCTTCACACTAGATTTTTTTAGTTTTGTTTTTCTGCATTGCAGAGCAGAGTACAGTTACAGTATAGAAATTTGTATTTTTATTAGTAATGAACTTTAGAATCTCTATAATAATACTAATGATAGTTTATCTAATGGTAGTGATAGCTTATAGTTCAGACTGTAGTTTGCTTTGATTGTAGCAGAGCAACAATCAAGTTCACTTACTGAACCCAGAAGTTCTGGTTTTGAAGTGTGCCTGAATGAGAGCTCTGTTTGCTGAGTACATTAGTCCTGAATGCCTGGTATTGTTTTCCAGTCAGCTCTGTCACTCACAGCTGTGATCATCCAGCATTGTGGAGGTTTCTGTACCACCTAAAAAATGGGAGAAGCAAGTGGGTGATTTTTTTTTGGCGGGGACGGTCAAGTGAAAAAGGGGGTGTATGTTGTGGGATAAAATGGATCTTTATAAAGGACTACTGGAAAAAGGCAGCCCTGTTGTTGGTGTGTGTCATCAGTGTTTAGAGTCCCAGGGCTGTCAGTATGAGTCATACTGCTGTGCCTGTTTTTACCAACTCAACGGATAAATAAAGAAGTAGGTTAAAATGATTCACTATTCTGATCTCGTTATGTTTTAAGGGTTTTGGGATGACGTGTGAAATTAGATTTCAGAAGTATTTTAATGCATAGTGAATGATACATTTCTTAGCAGTCTCACATTCTCACTTTGCCTCTCAGTCCAGCGCTCAAAGATCCAGGAAATGCAGACCTGGGTCCAATCTTTGGAGCAGGAGGCACGATCTGCATCGGAGCAGCGCCGTGGCCTGGAATCCCAGCTGGCAGAGGTACGGGCCCAGCTGGCAGCCCGGGAGCAAGACCTGACCCGAACCAGAGAGGAGCTTGCCCGGACCAGTGCTTCTCTCGAGAAAGAGAGCAGCAAGGTGAAATGGCAGTGATGACGTCTGAAGAATTCTGAACAATGTGCCTTTTTCTGAAGTGTCAAGCACTTATTTCTGCTTGTTTTCTTTTATGTTCTCTGTGATCAGTTGATTATTATATTATATTATATTATATTATATTATATTATATTATATTATATGATTCATCAATCATAAATTCACCCATGAACAAAGGAGGCTGATTCTTTGCATGTTTTGCCCAGATGAAGTGTAAAAAATATCATGTTGGAGTACTGCAAAGGTGTTAAGTTTGTCCATTATGGATTAAAACATGGCATTCTGGAAACCAGTATATTTTGGGAAAATTAGCTAGTACAGTACAGATAATCAGTAATTTGACAAATTAAAGTACGTTTTAATGCATTTGAGAATACTTAGCCAACAGAAAATGAGTTTGACACCACTAGAGAATGACAAAGGTGGTTGTTGAGCACCAGGCTTTGGGCTGGAACTCGCAGGTGACAACCAGGGGGCTGCTGACTAGCAGGCTCTGACTTGGGTTTTTACACAGGTCCTGGCTGCTGAGCAAAAGTTGAAACAGCTGCAGGAGGAGCTGAGCTGCCAGAGGCAGAATGCAGAGAGCAGCCGACGGAGCGCCGAGCAAAGCAGGAGAGAGCTGGAGAAAGAGCACCACAGGGTATGTGGCTCCAATCCTCAGCCCTTGGGTGTTTGTCAGGTGTACTTGTTTGTAGGGGAGTGTGGATCCTGCATATCAGGCCACAGGGACCACTTGGGCAAGTGATGCCATGTAAACAAAATGTACCATACGTTGCACATGCACTGGCTTGTAGTATGTACAGTTGTGTTCAAAATAATAGCAGTCCAACATGAGTAACCTGATCAATCACCGTTTTTGGTAGAAATTATATTTCTACATGGCAAATAATTTACTAGTAGGTGTAGTAGAGTAATGGAAAACCAACAGACCCAACAGTCATGACATGCATGCTGCTGATTATGTGTTACAGAATCATTACTTGAAAGGGGCGTGTTCAAAATAATAGCAGTGTGAAGTTCAATTAGTGAGGTCATTCATTCTGTGAAAAAGTAGGTGCCAGTTATGGGCCTTATTTAAGGAAGGAAGGCAGCAAATGTTGTACATGCTGGTTATAGTGCATTTCTCTCTGAAATTCTGAGTAAAATGCATTCCAGACATTGTTCAGAAGAACAGTGTACCTTGATTAAAAAGTTGATTGGAGAGGGGAAAACATATAAAGAAGTGCAAAAAACTACCATTCGAATTGATCGAAGAATAGCCGAAATGGCAAAGCCAATGATCAGCTCCAGGAAGATCAAAGAAGGTCTAAAGTTACCTGTGAGTACTGTTACAATCAGATGATGCCTATATGAAGCCAAGCTATCTGCAAAAAGCCCCCGCAGAGTCCCATTGCTGAAAAAAAGACACGTGCTGAAGAGGTTACAATTTGCCAAAGAACACATTGACTGGCCTAAAGAGAAACGCCGCAACATTTCGTGGACTGATGGAAGCAAGATTGTTCTTTTTTGGTCTAGTGGCTGCAGACAGTTTGTCAAATGACCCCCAAACACTGAATTCAAGCCACAGTACACTGTGAAGACAGTGAAGCATGGTGGTGCAAGCATCATGATATGGGGATGTTTCTTATACTACAGTGGCGGGCCTACCAGGGATCATGGATCAGTTTGAATAACTCAAAATACTTAGAGGTCATGTTGCCATATGCTGAAGAGGAAACGCCCTTGAAATGGGTGTTTCAACAAGAAAGCGACCCTGAACACATGAGCCACATCTTGGTTCCAGACCAACAAGATTGATGTTATGGAGTGGCCAGCCCAATCCCCGGACCTTAATCCAATAGAAAACTTGTGGGGTGACATCAAAAATGCTGTTTCTGAGGCAAAACCAAGAAATGTAGTCCAATCATCCTGGGCTGGAATATCTGTTCGCAGGTGTCAGAAGTTGGTCGACTCCATACAACACAGATGTGCAGCATTTATCAGAAACAATTAAATATTAGTTCAATGATTCAAAGGAAAGCAAAATCTTAAAACATTTTTCAGTTGATACAGTGAATCTTTGAGTTTGTAAAGAAGAATGTGGACACTACTATTTTTTTTGAACAGCCTAATATTCCCTTTCCTTCACTTTCTGTAAAGGAGTAACACAAATGTGATGAATTTCTCTTCTTGTTTTGATGTGGAATAGAATTTGTAGTGTTCCCAATGCATTTGCATGTATGGAAATAAAAACTGTTAAGGATTTTCAGCTTTATTCACTTTTTTTTGACACACTGCTATTATTCTGAACACAACTGTACAGTGGTGGCTTGATGGTTAAGGAAGCGCATTTGTAATTGAAAGATTGCAGGTTCGAATCCCCGACCAGCAAGGCACCACTGAGGTACCCTGAGCAAGGTACCGCCCCCAAACACTGCTCCCCGGGCGCTGAATTAGCTGCCCCCTGCTATGTCACGAAAGTCACATATGGGTCAAATGCAGAGGACACATTTCATTGTTGCGCACTGTGTGCTGTGGTGTGTTGACAATGACCACTGATCACTAAATAAAGTACTGCTGAGAGGGACTGGCTGTGTGCATGCTGTATGTGCAGTGTGCATTGTGACACCTTGCAGGAGCTGCTGGGGCTGCAGAAAGACAGGCAGAACATGGAGAGAGAGCACCAGCAGGAAAGCAGCCGACTGAAGCAGGAGATTCAGCGTGCACAGACACTCCACAACACACTGCAGGCACAGTGTGATAAGGTGCACATTGACACGCACACGTCTGTGGGACGGTCTAGTGCTTCCACACACAAACAATACCAAACTGCATAAGCCATGTAAAATGTAAATGTAAAAAGCAATGTATTCAATTGGTAAGAGAATTGAAAGAAGTGTTTCTGGGACACTAGTGTGACATTCAGGCTTCCACAGAGTTTATATTTGAACTGTCAAACAGTGACATGCTCACTGGCTTTTCGCTTTGCTGGAATCTAAAACATCCGTGTTGCGTAACACTAGGAACTTGTTTGCTGTCTTGCTGTGTTTTCTCTCCTCTCACTTCCTTGGCTGATCAGGCTTTTTTCTCCTGTCACAAGAGAGTTATTTGCTCTATGACTTACTAAACTAACTTTCCTCTTCTCTCTGTCTTTCAAATTCTCTTATTTTCTATGTCTGTTTTGTTTCACTCAGTGGATTTTTGGGGCATCAAGGTTAGTGAGTTGGTGTTATGTGTGCGTGTGTTTGTGCTGTAATTTCAGATACAACCTTTGCCCGTATGTAAATGTCAGCTTTTCGTTATAGGGAAAACAGTTTGTGGGAGGAGTACATGGAGAAGGCCTTGGGGACAAGGAGGGCTGAGTGAGAGGATGTGGGTCATAGGTCAGACGAACAGCATAGGGGGGAGGGAGATGGGGAGGGGCAGGAATGATAACAGTGCGGTGTGTAACTTGATACTCTCCTGCTAATGTGAACCCTCAGACACCCCAAACTGCCCTATGTAGTTCAGCAGGCCAGTCACAACAACTTGGTATAATAATTGTAACATTATGCTTGGTCAGCATTTTGTCCAAGTCATTCTTGAACATTTTTCTTCTATGGCTAGACTGGCTCTTTCACCCAAACCTTAGTGATGTTACTTGGCACTAATAATCCTGTCTCTCTTGCATCTATAGTATGACATGTAATATGTTTTTTCTTAATTGCATGTCAATCACAAATCCAGTGTTTTGTGATTATAGACTAATATATTTCTAAGCTAATATGGGAGAATAAGTATAAAACAATTTATCTGGTCAACAAAAAATCACATGTTATTTGGATTTAGAACTCAATTGTCAGTTTCAGCTGATTTTGCACCTTGTCTGTTCTTGTTGAGGCATCGGGTATGAGCACGATGGACTGAGTGTGTTGTGTCCTGCATGGGGCTGTTTTCCCTCCTTTCACCTGCATCTCCTTTCCCTTCACTTTTGTCCCTTCTGTCTTCTCTGTCTTCTCTCTCGCTGCCTCTCTCCTTTCAATCTGCTCATTCATCTTTCACAGACTTTACCTCCGCTGCTCTCCCATTAAGCCCCCTTTTCCATTCCTCTCCAGGCATTGCTACAGAAGCAGGCTGTGGAGAAGGACATGGACACGGTGAAGGGGAAGCTACAGTGGACAGAGAAAGAGCTGTTTGAAAACCAAAAGGTCCAACAGCAGACCCAGTGCAAGTTGACGGTATGAGGCTGGTTGGGGATGAGGGCAAAGCAGTGCAATTCTGCTGCTTTTAAACTCATTCTCATATGAAGCAGGTGTTGTGAACTGTCACATAGACATAAACCGCAATTATGGTGGTGGACAGTTCAGAGAAACATAATGCTAAGTTCAAGATGCACAACTTTTAAAATTGTCAGATCGCTGTACTGTTCATACTACATGACTTGTCTTGTTACTGGCAGTCTCGTTGTGGTTTGCACACTACATGACTGATCAGTAACAGGGGATTACACACTGCAAGATCTTTCACCTGGAGGAATCCCAGCTAGTCTGTCTGATCTCAACTGTTTTGTCGCAAAAATACACATGAGAAGTGGCATGTGACTGTTGAAGAAAATTGGCAATTTCCGTCCACCTCTTCTTTCTCAACTTGTTTGGTGGTACAGGTCGTCGGAAACATCAAAAAGCCATTAGTGACCCTGCCAAAGTTTTAACCAAACTTTCTTCCTTTTCTTGGGTCCCAACAGATCACCAAACTTTTGCTGCCGGCATCATTGTTGATTTTGTATAGTGATCTAATGACTTTTATTTTTGTGTAGTGTGAACTTGGCATGTGACTCCTCACATGGGTGTTTCCTCATCGTCTATCTCTTGCTCTCTCATTGGCTATAGCTCATCATCACACTCATTACCAATTACTCTAATTGGCTGCAGCTCTTTGCTGCACTCATTGCCAATCGCAACACTTTTCACATTAAAGGATTTGAAGTTGCCAGCAGGTCTAGATATTTGGCATGCTAAATCTGTTGCGTCATCGAACACCGATTGGCCTCCTTGTTTTTGTCAGCGTTCTCCGAAGACTGTCGGCGAGTGGAAAATCGGGGCTAAAATCATGTAGTGTGACCATAGCATTAGGCACCTTTAGTCATCTGGTGGAGTGTTCATAAACCACCCACTGCAATCTTTCAGGTTCTTTTTCAGTGCATTCAATGCATGTGCCCTGCTGTAGGAGGCGATCCGAGAGCGGGACGGCCTGGCCTTGAGACTGGAACAGAGCGAACGGAGGGCTAAGGGCCTGGATGAGGAAGTGAGGAGGCTGACACAGGAGCTCAGTGAGGCTCTGAGGCTGCTGGAAGAGCTGAAGGGTGAGGAAGGCCTGTGAGGAATCTAGGCATCTCATCTGTGACCTACTGGAATCTGTCGCTTGTGTGGAGAATGTTAAACAGCTGTATGTTACTGTGTAGGCATACACATCCAGAGACCTAACATAGACTCAGCATCGGTCATCTTAACCTTGCTTTTAGAAAATTAATATGTGAAAGATTAAAAAAAAAAAAAAAAAAAAAAAAAAAAAAACTAGTAGCATTGTCTGCCCAGCCTAGTAGCATTATCTGCCCAGCATTGTCTGCAACCCCTCCTAGGTGGAGACTAGTTTGACTAGAGCTGGCAATAGAGTGAGGATGTTTCCACAGCAGGTTTCACACAGTGGCTCTCGCATACAAATCTACGCAAATCCCTACCACACCCAGTTTTTATTACATCATTTGATATATGGTTAGTCTTGCATTGTTTACAAGTGACTAATACTGCTGGCTTATTTTGAGGAACACTTTGTAGTCTTCAGATGTGTCATCTTCTTTGTTTTTGTTTGTGTTAAAGAACAAAATTTGTATTACTGCTGCTCTCTGCTGAATGCATGCAGTATTTTGCCAGCACATCTATTGGCTGCTTTCCTCTGCTACCAGGAACCGAGCCGTACCTGACCCATACTGCGAACTGATGGTTTTCTATTCTGAAATATACAAGCCATACCCAGCCTTTACCTGTGCTGACACTGCCCTGTTTACTAACAGGGCCAAAAGCGTGTCTAAACTAAGCTGGTTGCGTCACCATCATCAGAGATACCAGTGATCTGCGTCGATAAGCATGGATTATCTGAAGGAAAATAGGGCATGTTCTATTATTAATTATTAGTAGTTTCGCACATCGCAGTGTAGTAGTGCATCCCCGGTAACTCAAAACTTCCTTCCTACTTATAAAAAGTATTATAGAACAGCTGAATGGAATGGATTTGTAATGCAAATTTACACAAGTGAAGTCTAATTCTGCTAGCATTTGATGCTAACATAACAGCAATTGTCACAGATGTAATGGAAATTAGCAAACAGTAAAAAAAAAAGAATAAAATCAGCAGATAGTAAATCATGATGTACACCAATTGAGGTAATACATCCAATGTTCTCTGTCCTTCACAGCCACCAAGCTTATTGTCCCTGCCGCTGCTGAAGTTCCTGTTCGATTTACCCCAGCTGGAGACAGCTTTCCTTCCTCAATCTCCCATCATGAACGACTCCAGCGAGCACCGCCTTCACAGAGGAAGAAAGCTACAGGTCATGATCCATCAAGGGAGAGCTGGGAGGTAGATAGGTCAGATGGGACCACCAACACAGGGTATCCTGCTGACAGAGAACCCGGGGAGGGTATCGACTCCAACGACATAACAGAGCTTGGGACCCAACCAGAGGAAAAATTAAGGGATGAAGGAGGCAGGCGAAAGAATGAGGTTCAGAAGACTCGTGAAGTTGAAGCCAAATTGATTGCTGAACAAAACAAATACGATGTTCACGGCAGCAAAGCATCTATGAAAGAACAAAATAACATGGAGAGGGAGAGTTCTGAACTCAGAGAAGTGAGTAAACCAGACTGTAACCTCAATGATGACCAAGTCCAAGCAGAAGAGGATGAAGATCTGCTAATTCCATCTACTGACCAAGACGGACACAGCCAGCCAGCTCTACAGGATCTAAAAAAACAGAACATTGCTCTTAATGATGAGCTTCAGGAGGTGAAGCGGGAGCTGGAGCGAAGGCTTGAGGACTTGGAGGCCCAAAGGAAGGCAGAGACTGAAGCCAGAACCAGGCTGAAACAGGTGAGCCGCAAGCACTCAGCTCAAGTGGAACAGTTGCGGCAAAAAGCCCAAGAGTTAAAGGGTGATGGTGAGAGGTTAGAGAAAGAGCTAGAGGAGGAGAGGGCAGAAAGCAGGAGGCTTAAGGAGGCTCTGGCTGCCCTTGAGCAGAGGAGTATGGGGCAGGTGGATGCCGAAAAAGAGACGGAGAGTACAGTCCTCAGGGACCAAGTTGCATTACTGGAGTCCCAACTCAAGCAAGAACGAGAAGATCTGGAGCAAGAGAGAGTGGTGTGGAGTGAGAAGGAGGATAGGAGAAAAATGGATGAAGACCATGAGCTGGAGAGCAGGAGAATTTTCACAGCACGTATTGAAGAACTGGAGGCTCAGATGCTGGAGCTCCGGGGGAGTCAGGACAGGGAAACTGGCAAAGAGTTTGGAGAAACCCCTTTAATCACATGTGACAATGCTGAGAACTTTAACAACAATAGTGAGACTGTCATTATCGACTCTATGTCTCCATCACCAAGTGACTCCCCCTCTCAGTCTGAGCTTGTGGATCCTCAAAGCACAAAACCCTTCAAACACAGTGAAAGTAACTTCAGTAATAATGTAAAAGGTCAGGTACAATCAGAGAGTAATCTGGAGGATCCCTCAAAAAGGAGTGGGAAGCAAGTAGGTTTGGAGACTGTGCTGTTCCGGGATGAAACAGTCCAGCTGGTCCTTGAGCTGGAACATCTCAGGAGAACCTGTGAGACCCTGAAGGACGAAAGGGATAAGGAAGCTGGACGGGCTAGGCAGACTCAGGGTAAGCTGGATGCCCTACAGGCCCAGGTGAACAGCCAGACCCAACAGCTGACACTTGCCTTTGAGAGTCAGAGCTGCCACATACAGGATTTACTGCATGAGCTGCAAGACAGAGACACTGTCCTCGAGAGGCTGGAGGTGGAGCTACAGGGCTGTCGAGAGGAGATAAAGTTACTGAAAAGAGAGCAGGAAGAGCTGGATTTGGAAAGCAAGAGCCCTGAGGGCATTAAATCTATGGTGGATGTTGCAGCAACACCAAACCCCCAGCTGAAATCCCCCATATCACAGTGTGAAGATATCAAGAACACGCCGCATGCTTTTGAGAATTTTCATCCTCCCGTAGCACTCAAACAGCAGGGAGTGTGTGATGAAAGTACCAGTATGGAGAGTTTGGTAGGATCCCTTCGTGAGATAATAGCAGGGAACAAAGAGCCGAAATCAAAATTTGAAGCGATTACATATTTGAACATTTTGGAACAAATAAGCACAGAGCCAGGTGATCTGGTTGGTGGTGATCCATCACATAGAGTAGTTGTGCAATTACATGCTGCTATGAATGAGCTAATGCAACTGAAAACTGAGAATAAAGAAATGAAGTCTATGCTGGCAGCTGTTACATCTCCTGGAAGGAAGGAAGTCCACCCTTTAGATTCTAAGGGATGTTTACTTGATGATAACAAAGAGAGTGAAGCTGCTACCAAGAGGTCTAGAGAGGAGCTGCATCCTGCACAAAGGGACTTTGATCCCGTAGTTCCAAATGAGTATGAACATTTGACAGTGAACCTTAAGGAATCTGTAACTAGAACTGTCAATCAGGAGAAGCCTATTGTTTGTAAAGGTGATGGGGATAATCCAAGTATTAGGCTTTGCAGCATAGAACAACAATTGGTGTTAAGTAAGCTGCAGGAAAAAAAGCTGAAATTTAAGTCAGAGCTGTGTGTACATTCAGATTTTGAATGGATAAAAGTAGAGGAGCAAGATACCAAAACTGGAGGGGTCACATGCAGGTCTAAGACGGGCCTACAGATGAATCAGGACGAGTTAAACCAGTTGGAGAGGGAGAAAGACCAGCTGAACTCCAAGTTAGCATGCTTCGGGAAACAGGTGGCTGCTGTTACATTAGGTTATACAAATACCAAAGATCAAGAAACAGGAGTTTCTTTGCAGAGCTCCCTAGAATTAGCAGGAGAGTACAATGAGTTAAATTTTTCTGGGGAAGCTGAAGGTATCTGTAGAAGTAAAGAGCTGCACGTAAGAGACAAGCCCACTGTGGATGTAAAACAATATATAAATGCTATTATCACATTACTAGGGGAAAATAAGGCATTACAGTCTTGGGCTCTGTCTGTTAGTCCTCCTGAGAAGCAAGAAGAGATGCCAAACATTTCTGAAGGAGTGCTGGGGTGGATTGATGCCATAATCAGTGGTTTTGGAAGTGCAGAAGTTATTGAGAAATTGGACTCCACTCTTCCCAGGTCAAAGGAAGTGAGCCAAGAGAGAGAAATGCCTATTCAAAAGACATCAGTGATGTTCCCGGCTCAAGATCTGAGCTCTAGCAGTAATGAACTGGACTTGAAGACTAAAGATGCCCAAGGGATTCAAACTGTGGCTGAAGGGAGTAGTTTGATAGCACATGTAGCGAGTTGCCCTGGTTACTGTTTGACTGAGGCAGTGACAGTCACTCAGACAGACACAGAGCTGAGGAAGGAGAGCCATCAGCTGAAGGAACAACAGGTGCTGCTGAAAACATCCATTGAGGAGCAGGAAAGAAGCCCTGGAGTACAGGATGGTGTCACACAGACTGGTCCTGAAGAGGATGGGAACCACTCTAGCCAGAGTGGGCTTCTTCAGCAGCAGGTGGGTGGTAAAAATGTATACTATCCTTCACATGGTTACATTAAAATGTTTACATTGTGGAGAGCGCGATGGGGTGGGCAAAAAGAATTTCTAAAAAGTTTTTCTTAACGGGAGGATATCATCCTTTTTTGTGTTGCTATACTTTATAAATTGTGAAAAGTAAAAGACCATACTTTCATTAATATATATATATATTGTATTTTTCCTCTGTCCATAGTTATTGGAACTGCAGTCTGTAGTCTCAAGTCTCGTTGAGGAAAACAAAAAACAGGCAGATGAGCTAAAGGTCTGGAGGACGGCTGGAGACACTCTTACCCCTGTTTCTTTTGGGGAGCCAGTTATTCACACGAGTAATGATTCCATAACGGTGGTCCGGGAAGACCACCTGCTTGTTTCCTGCAAGCCCAAAAAGCTTGCGGGGTCTCCATCCCATGCAGAGAATATTTTAGAAGATTGCAGGAAGCCAGTGTTCATTCCTGGGGCAGGTGCAGTTGATAAAGGAGTACATGAAGAAAGGGAAACTTGCAATCTCTCAGGAGCAAATGATGAAACAGGGACACTGGCAGTTTCTATTAAGGTGATTATTTAGTGTTGTTTTGCAGGAAATTTAAGAAGTATTTGTGATATACATGTTACACTATGAAATGTTGTCTTTTTTAAATTCAAATCTTATGGTAGTTTGTTTTATTATGGTAATACTAAAACTCCCAAAAAACGAAAAAAATCAGATTCATCCTAATAAACGTTAGACCTTCACCCTCAGTTTCACATTTTCCCCTGTTATCTTTTCAGTTGTCAGCAACCGATGGTGATGTTTCTCAAAGCCTCAAGGCCAAAGCAGTAGCCCATGGACAAAGTGAACTGGAGACAGAAACTGCACATAGCCGTTGTAATCATACAGACATTCAGATATTCATCCAAGAAAACCAGGAAACCAGAGCTACAGATACACTGAACGAAACCAAACAGGCTGACAGAAACAGTGTCCAAGATAATCAGCTAAGAACAGCTGCTGGAAAAACTAGAAGTGAAAAGATCAAAATGGTTGTCCAAGAAGACAACTGGACCAAAGCCATCATTGAACATGAGGCCATAGTAAACAGTAAAGAAGAAAATCCAACATTTACTGAGCAACACAGTGTAATGCTGAATGAAAAGGGGCCACAGATGCAGTCTGAAGGAGCAGATCAGGATTATGCAACTCAGGGAGCAGAAAGTACTGAAACCTCAGGAAAGACAACACGCCTGTTCTCTAAAAGCCCTGTGGAAGACGGAGAGAACCGCTTTCCTCAGTGGGAGAACCAAAGAGAGTCGAGGAGCATGGCCACTCAGACGGAAAGCATGAACGAAGGTGCAGCAGTAGGTTCCCTTGCCCCATATTGCAGTGATCAGGAGAAGTGCCATGCTGGTACGCAGACAGAGGACAGAGCCATGGAAGTGTGGAATGAGCCAGCAGATTCGGGGGTGGAGGACAAGGAGAGTGTAGATTCTCCACCACTCTCGCCTGTGGATGCAGCTCTGTCCATGGTGGACAATTTGACCCTGTTTTCAAGGTCCTTTCTCATCCCCGCTGACCCGGCCCAGCTGGCGGAGAGAATAAGGCGAAACCGTTCCCGCATGTCAGCTGCGTTTGACGATACCGAGTATGAGCCCTACGGACTGCCTGAGGTCGTCATGAAGGGTGGGTGTCTGAAACAGCTGTGCTCTGTATGAGTGCATCACCATAGAAAAGGCACAGAGAAATCACAGCACTTTTATAGGGAACATATATATATATTAGTCTGATTTAAACCAGTTATTCATAACACAATGCACTCTAGTTTAGGCAGTGACCTACAGAATAATGCAGTAATAAATATATAGAACAAAAATGGCTACCAAAACATGTATAATATGTAAAAATCAGTATATTTCCCATTGAGTTGCAATGCAGAAAAACAAGGTGATAAACATGATCGTTGTCACCTTCCAGGCTTTGCGGATATTCCAAGTGGACCAGCGTGTCCCTATGTCCTCAGAAGGGGACTGTTGGGCACCGATGCCATGCCACTGCCTCTGCGAGAGCAAGGGGAGAACGAGGAGGAGGATGAGCTGGATCCCTGACACCCAAGTATCTCACTCATATGCCAGTAGGTACACAACCAGCACATTTAGGTCAAAGCTTAGTGGCTAGCACTCTAGCCTCATATCTTCTTGGGTTTAATTCTCACCCAATCTGTGTGTGTGGAGTATGCATGTTCTCTGTACTTTTGGGTGGGTTTCCTCTGGGTACTCCTGTTTCTTCCCATAGACCATTTAGGGTAGTTGGCAGCTCTGAATTAATTGATAATGCTTGCGTATGTTCCTGTGCCCTGCATGGGACTGGAATCCTGCCCTGGGTGTCCCCTGCCATAAACCCTGCTGGCACAGGCTCCAGACTCGTAAGCCTGCATTGGATAAATAGTTATGAAGAGGACTGAGATGGGATGGATTGGATGAATGGATGTTAAAGTACAAAAAATGTCAGCAAAAATGTACATTTGTGATGGCTGCTCTGGTGTTTTGGCAATGCTCATATCATACGTGGGCTGTGCTGTGTCTTGATGAATCGGTGGCCACTCATTGACCATGAAACCAGACATTTGCCAGATTCTTTCCATTACATCTGCAGCTCCTGCTTCTTGGTTAATCTCTTACTTTGCACAAGGTATGCGGTGTAGTATGAAGCTACCATTGCTTTTTGTATTTCTCGATGACACAGATTATCATGATGAATAAGGCACTGTTTATGCTCATTGGCTGCTGAACAAATGACAGTTTATGATTGATTGCTAGTCTCTGGACAATGGGAGACCTGCTCCCCTGCCTCGAAAAGGGATGATCCGAAGGAAGCTCCTGAGAACTTTTAATTTCTATAGCATATACGTGTCGTATCTGTGGTTTATTGTCATGTTTCTAAATATTTCTTCTATTTTTGTCCTTCGTTTTTCTGCCCTCATCCAGGAGTGAAAATGTCTAGCCAAAAACAAACCGATGTTCTGGTCATGACATGAAGATTGGTTTCTATCCACCGAAAAGGGTTTTAACCTACAGAATTGGAGTGCTAGACCCAGGTGATGATTGTGTTTTTGTCCTGTTTGAGTTTTTCCCCCAACTATTTGTTGCTTCTGAGCTCATATCAACAAAGCAGCTGTTGTAGCAAGCATCCTTTCAGGACCATATTAAGAAGAGTTCTCAATGATGCCTCTTCATGGGAGGGGTTGATTGGCCAGATAAAATTGGAGTGTCTCGATTGTGAAAAGTAACTCTTGAATTTAACTGTCTAGGATCATGGCTGTTACAGAAACACAGGAGATTTTGCCACTGTTCAAACTGTCACCTTCCTTGGTTAATTTTGCCATTAATTTAATGTTGCCAAGAATTTGCAATATGATATTTATATAACAAAGCCTAGCCTGCCTTGAGGACGACAGCAAGTAAAATGAGCTAACATTTAATAAATTAGAATCCAGACGTACCAATAAATACAGGCAATAACTTCTAAGTAAAAGTCATTTTAACTACCTCTTTAGAAAACTCATCTGCTTCAAAAGCACTAATTCCTGTTAGTGTGTAACTTTTCTTACACAAAGGGTACTTTGATCTTTACAGTCAGATGTGTTTGTGTAATGTTTTTCTTATATAGTAATTCTCCAATGAGCCTCTCTCCATTAGAAGACTTGGATTCTTTGCGTTTCTGTATTTGTGTGCGCTTGTGTGTGTCTGCTGAGCCACACAGCAGGACTGTCTTTCCTCTCCATTTATGGCAATCGGCTGTTTCGATTGAGCCTGGTATTCTCTAATAGTTCTCCCCCGTGTAAAACACTGCCTTTTATTGTGGTCTCTGTTTTGAGTCTTGTTTGTGATCCTATGGATATATATCTGCTCTGATGCAGTGATTTTACATGAACAGAGATTTGGCGAGCTGCTTTTATTTTAAATAAGGTCATTAGATAAGTAAATCTGACATTAGTTTTAGTTGTAGATAAATGCCGATGTATGAACAGTCAAACAACCAGACCTTTGGGGCATACAGTTGTCTAAATGCATGCTTTTCTGGTGGTCTGTAAGATTAATTAATTTCTGAATGTACATTATTCAGTTATTTGTGTTGATCCACACACAAATGTAACATTTTATTAGATGGGCTTTCAGTTCATAGAATAGCCACATCTCTGCTTGGGTGGTGTTTTTTGTTTGTGGATGAACTGTTTTAAATGAGGGCTAGGGGGTTGGTTTCCCAGAAGTTATTTGTGCTACATGGGGAATGTTAGGCTCTCTTTACTTGTCAAAGGTCTAATTCAAAGCATCAGAGGAACTGAAGATGCTATTTTTCTGAGATTTCAACTTCCCAGTTACACATAAATTATATATGTATTGCGAAACATATATCCACAAACACACTTATCACGTATAATAAATGTTGTTCCTCACTCAGTGAATGAATATTCTGTTGTGTGAATAGTCAAACTTTATTCTTTTTATGATTTGTCCTTTTATTTATTATCATTTGTCTGTGTTTTAAGGATTGGAACAAAAAGTTCTATAAATAAAAACCTTTTAAACACAACCTGTTTGTTGTTTGTCATTATTACCTTTAATGTGTAGACTCCTGAAAGACTCAGTGCTACCTGCTCTCAATCAATGCGGTTTTATGTGCATGTGATCCTCATTTGGTAGTAAAATGATTTTCTTTGCTCATCTGAAATTGAAGGTGCTGTTTTGTTTCTTTGTTTAAAATCTGCATTTTTTAATACCTCTTTCCCTCCATTTGTCCCTCCTGAAAGGGACCGATGCTTATCAGCTAACCAGACTAGAGAGGAAAGGGCTGTTTCATTCTTAGTGCAAGCCTGATAGAGAATAACCAGTGTAGATCATGTAATTTTATGGTATTTAAAATTGCTCAGAAACTTCAGATGTGTTTTGGGAGGCCATTGTTATTAAGTCATTATTTTCAGTAATTCTTGAACTAGCCATCAGTTCATAGGTATGTAGAGCTGCAGGGATTTCTGTTTACCTGACACTTTTTTTTTTTCCCCTTAGATTCTGCTATTTAGGTAACATGTGGGTAGTTGTAGGTTTACTGTGTTCAGCATCTCCATTATTTCAACAGCGGTGTGTCTGTATCTCCATCTTTTTATTACACATCCTTGCATTCTCACAGGCTCCATTCCATTTCTAGTGCCTGCTCCTCCATATTTAGTGTTTCAGTGAATGCAAATAGCCTCGCCTACTTGCACACACCATTATTACAGTTCTGTGGAAATTGACAATAGGCTATGGTGTGAATACAGTGAACTGGCTTTGAATGCAGGTTGTGAATGGTAATTCACTCAAGACATAGCCTACTGTTGGTATCACATAAATACACTAAAGCATCTCTTTTTTGTGTGTGTTTTGCTAATACCACATGCTTTGCAGTTTTCTTGTGTTATATTCCTCATACTGTTCACTTGTCTGATTCTGTCTCTTAATATGTAGAGATGATGAGCCTTGGATTTCTCAGGCTTTGTCCTCCATCCTTTCCCTTTCAGTCTCCTCTGCCTCTTTCCCCACTAATGTGTACACTTTGCACTTCTGAGCATCTCCAGGCTAATGGTGCTTGGGAAGTATGTCGAAAATCCTTGTTACTTTGGGCTGCCATTATTTGGGGTCAGATATCGCTTAAAAGTAGGCATGATAACTCAGCAGTAAACAGTCTATGTAACAAATCCCCTGTAAGAGAGGGGAGATGTGTTATTTGGCCAAAAAATACATGGAGACTAGCTTTGCTAAGTAGTTTAATGGGCTTATAGTGGCTTTATTACTTGTCTCCATGGGGATCAGATGGCTGTCAGCTGACGTAAGCTATTGTTCCAGCTGTGCAGTTGCCAACCATTCCATAAACTCTTAATTGTTTATTTGAACTTAAATCTGCACTTCTATGGTCCAGCGCTGGCGGTGAAGGGAAACAATCCTTTTCAGTAGCAGACTGACACAAACTTCACCACGCTAATGCTGTAGGAAATTAAAGTATAATTATATGTGCTTTTCTATCTTCTCTGCATTTTCTAATGTGTCTAAACTACATATAAAGCGTGACTCATTGGATGCACGTGGGAAGTCCATCCATTTTAACAGCAGCTTTATCCAGTGCACGGCGTGAGCACTGGATTCTGTCCTAGAAAGCACAAGGCGTACCTGTCAGGGAACGATCCATCATGGGGCACGCGGCTTGGAAATACTAATCTGCAGGGTACCCAGAGGGAACCCATGCAAACACTCCATAAACGCAGAGCTGGAGGTGGGAAACAAGCACGACCCTGGAGGTGTGAGGTCACAGCACTGGCACATGGGTGCTGACCACAGCTGTGTCTGTAAACGTCCAGTTATATTGAGTCCGACTTGGATCCTTGAATAATCTGCAGTTTAATAGGTAAATTTAATGTTTGTGACTTCAGATGTAAGCTCAAATCCCTCTGTGTCAAATTTATGACAATTTGGACTAATTGCTCTATATTTATCAAAAGAATAATATAAAAGGTATAAATGAAGGGTATGTCACTTTTTATTTGTACAGTATTTTCTCCTTGTTAAACTGTTATTAAGCATTGGGTCGAAGATACAAAAACTGGCAATATTCCAACATACCTGTGGACAAGAACAGATCAATTAGCCCATATAGTTTAATGAGCCCACCCTGAATATCACAATCTCTGCACTCATCACTGTGGCATGTAGTTTTCAGTTATTGCTATAATAGGAAACAAAATGGAAAACAGACATTATGGATGATGTCTCATTCAGATTTAAATGCTGTTAATCCATTGGATAATGAAAGATTTTATGTAATGCTCTTGTTTAAGGGTAACAGAATTCTGCCAAACGTCTTAGTTATGGACTATGTGCGGTGGTGTCTATAGAGTTTTTTGTTCTGCATCATTGATGTGAGCTGTATTATGCTAGCTGTACTAGCAGACCATACGAAGTAGTGTGCGAAGATACTTAAAAAATCAATTTCCTTCCTGAGAAATTCATGCATCATCAAAAACGGTAGAATGGGGCCTTTCACAGGAAGGCTTTCACTGAAAAAAAGTCTTGGAAAAGATTAAATATTATCCCTTAATACACTGACCCACCCACTCTCTCCCTGTCTCTTAGACTATCCATTACTTTCTTAATATATATGAGTCATTACCTGAAGTTCTGTCCATTTCAGGCCTCTATGTCAGTTACTCATCTCTCTTAGTTCTATGAAAAATACCTGTGCTTGACCATTTCTCTTCACAGCGACCGTGAGCAACACTAAGAAGCAAAGGAGAAGGAATGAGGAAGCCATCAAAGCATATCGTCTCAAAGTTAACCGATCGCTCTGAAGACAGAATAAGTGAGTACTTACTTTGTTTTATACTGTGCAAATTACATCAGTTTGTGCAGTCAGTTCTCTGAAGTACATTTGTATTTTAAGGAATATTTTTTTAATGTTTAATTCTTCCTCTTGGTGAACAAAGACATCTGCCGATGGTGTTTATCATGGGTAGGTCAAAGATTTGAGTATTGTTGAGATTCACTGGGTGTGCAACTAGACTAATACTAAGTATAACCAACTTAGAATTAGGGTTAATGTTTCATTAACAATCCATTCAGTGTAAAACTCCATATTCAGGTTGATGAACAGTGGCTTTGATTAAAATCACAGCCCAAGAGGACATTTATATAGTTTTAATTGACCATTGGAATATTGTTAGCATATTAGAATGTTCTTTTTCCTATTTTTTATATTTAAACAGAATGTCTTTTAATAGTTTTAAAATATTTCATTTTTGCCATTATTTGTATTAATTAAATCTGTTTGAGGAGATTAAACAGTGGTCCGGTTAATATGTTGCATATTTATGGGGGAAAAAAAAACCTTAAATTTAAAAACTTTAAAATCTAAATACACAAAAATTACATCCATATGCCATCTTCCATAATTTATTAGAAACGTTTGAAGATATGCATTAGCTTTACAATCCACATTAGTCATTACACATTAGTCATTTTACAAGTGCAAAGGAATGTATTAATTATTTTCACACATTATGCAATGATATGTTTCCCATTTAACAATTTAAATAAAGCTATGGTCATTTTTTACTTCAAAACACAAGTGAGAAAAAAAGTAGTGATTTCTCGTTTATAAGCATATCATCAGTTAGATTGAAACTGAGATCATTCAGACCACAGACAACTAGAGGAAGGACATGAAAGGGAAATGACAGATTATTTACAGATTTAGAAATGTTTGGAATGTAATGAACTTTTATGCCTTAAAAAAACCAATGTGTCAAGTTTTCTAGTCCACATATTATACTCTTTCACCTTTCAATTAATTTCACCATTAATAGAAGGTGAACTGGACAGGACTTGGCCAATAAAATAACCATGACTAACTGGCAAAAGCTGCCCGAATACAATATGCAAATAAATAGGTCCCTGTGAAGATGACTTATAGATGATGGTTTGCACACAAGTGGCTATTCACTCAGTGTCATCTTGATTGAAAACAAATAAAGAAATATATATAATGAATATAGCACTAGCATTGTATTTGTATTTGCCAGTTGTATTACTTTTAAATTTATGTTATCTGTGTTTCTTGGCATTGCAGAGGTACATATATCTCTCTCGACACGCCATGACATAATTCCACTGGTCAGGCCTTTTATGTATCGACTGGGATGAGCACGAGGGCGGTAAGGATAGGAAGAGCCTTGAGATGGAGAAGCGATAGGGGCCGAGGAGCTCCTATTTACAGCTGCTCAGTGTCTCCAGAAACAGCAGCCGCTTCTATTCTCCGCAGACTAATAGAACCAAAGGGCTAACTCCTCCATTTATGGCACCATGTTTCACTGGATCTCTCTGCAACTCAACTCCGCTCAAACATTTGCCACCTGAGCCACCTACACCAACACTTGGTACACTTGTTATTCATAATAATTTTCTTAAAATTCACTTTTATCATGCAATACCTTACAAAAAAAATTCCAAGTACTTAATAAGCTGTATAGAAGAATTATAGAATAAATTATATACCAAAGAATTGTTTTATTTACAAAATTTCTATAGTTGGTTATACTTCTAAAAGTAACACTATGGCTTATACTTTAGTGAATAAAGACACTGGTATTTCTAGATAAAATGTTACTTGGAATGTTAATGTAAGTATGTATAACATGTATGGAAAATGTCTGTTTGTGAAATGAGCAGTTAAAATGAGCAACTGTAAGATTAGTTTTAATGCAAATCTGTAAACTTAAATTTGCATGTGTAATATAATTTTTTTTATATTATTGTCTTCATAATATATTTTGCACAAATATTAAAATGCATACAAACAGTATTATACAAACATTTATACATTAATACATATATATTGTATATAACCTGCAGGGGGCAGTGTGTAGCTCAGCATGTTATGGATCGGCTACTGCGGCTGGTAATGGGTCAGAATCCTTTGGTTGACAGATTAATCATATTATCGTTGGGCCCTTGAGCAAAGCTCTAAACCACAACTTGCCGAGGGGTCCTGGCTGACCCTGGACTCTGACCCCAAATGTCCCCCCAGTGATGAGAAAAGTACCTCTATTCTATATGCCACTTGCATAATGTATGTAAAAATATGTAATATACCTTTTCAAGCAATGGACTCTTGCATTTGTACTAGTGTGACATCCTACCCTCATATGCCCTTTAAAATGGAGGTTCTCTGTGTTAAAATAATGAGATTCATCTGCATCCATTTTTATTTGAGATGAACTGTGCATGGCGAGAAGGGAAGTATTTGGCCCCCAAGATATGGGGCCCGTGGTTTGTGTGTCTGCATTACTGCCTAATGGATGAAGTCAAGACAAACTCTTTTGTTAGGATCGCTCTGTCTCAGGCTATGCAAAGGCCTGACAGCATGACGCGACGTTCCCCATGGGACCATTACTATCGCTGGTCATTTCATTTAAAAATCAGTTGAATCAGTTTCTTCTTCTGTGGTTTGAGCTTGCAGGATCGTCAGGACATTCACAGATCCTTTTGCCTGGAACTTACACCTTCTCACCCATATTTAAAAACCACTGAAACACAGAGGTTAGCCCGTTCACGAAGGCTGAGAATCACGCCTGAGGCCTGCAGCAGTCACACTTATTTATTCATTTTCCATTTAATATTTTCCCCTTAACCTCATTTAACTGTTTGACATCTAGTCACAGTAAACATTACAGAATGTTCAGTAATCAATAGACTGTCTCATTTTAATGCACCAAAAAGTATTTGGTTTTATGCATGTGTGGGTTTTGAAGAAGTGAATGCAGAAATTAAACTGTAAAGGACAAGTGATAAACTATATCATAGTGGGAGAACATCATTGTTATTATTAACATCATTGTATTAATAACATCATTGTTATTATTTCTGGTCTATTTACAGTGAATCATTAGTCACAGTGGGTGTGACATTAATCTACATCCACAGACTTTCTACCCTGCTGATTATTTTGTATTGTATTGTGTTGTTGTTTTGTAAGGTTTAAATTAACCACCAGTAATATACACTTATTCTGCATGATGATGAATCAGAGAGATGAAGAGACCAGTTGGGAGACACAGACAGGCAGTGAGAAACAGGTCAGATGGGAGTGAAAGGTAAACATCATGGGTTTTATCATTTTACCTTGAGGTATAACATCATACCTCAATAAGAGGGTTAAAAGATTTTTTCCTTCAACACTAAGTACAATAGTCTTATTCTGTCTGTGCATGAGAAATAACGTGAAAATTTTACAATTTTTCTACATGTCTCTCGTGTTCTGACTGGATTGGCGTAACCCTTATCCCTAAAGGCATCAGAGCTTCAGAACAAAAGAAATTACTGGCATGTCCATTTTACATTGTAATGTATTCAGCCACATACAACTGGGAGCATTATGGCACCCTCCAATATGAGCACATGATTGGATTTCAAGGGAGTTCGGGGTGCAAATGGGCTCAGAGCGCCATGCTGGGGGTCAGGTGGAGCCCTGGATCTATGGGTTTATGGTGCAGAGAGAAGAGGGCATGGCAGCGTCGTCACTAGCAACAAGAAAGCCAGTGAGGCGTGTAACGTTGACGTGTTTTACACTTACGGACAAAAATAAAAATGTTTAACAATCACTAATTAAATCCAAACAACATTCACTGTTTCCAAGCTGAATTTAACCAAAGGCCTTTGGGTTAAAAGTCGTTCACATGAACACTACTCTCTGCCGCATTAATTTCAGTGCTATAAAGCCCTGATAGACATCTGCTGAGGACAGTCACACGCCAATTATGTGCTGACTAGTCAAATCGATATAATGAAAAGCAAGGAGTGGCATGTCGGGGGGGGCGGGGCTGTGGTGCCTGATGGCAGCAGGTAGGAAGGATCCCCAGTTGCACACTGTGGCGGAATGAGCAGGCAGCTAAATGTTCTCCAGGACAGCACCTCCTGAAATGGACGGAATGCTTCATAATATTGTACAATAAACAGATATATGGGTCTGGCGCCTCATCCAGAGACTTAAGTCCTACTTTTTCCAGAAATGGCTTCAGATCACTGATAGTCAAACTGAATGACCATTTGATAAAATTGCATGGATGCATGTATATATTATGCATTCACATAAGCGCATTATTATTTGTGATGTTGTTATTACATGCAAGCAATATAACAGCAATATAACACCTATACATTGAATATGACAGTAGAAATATTTAATATGCCTACAGTGACTCAGCAAGAGTCACTTTCATCATTTCATCAAACAGAAATGTTTTTTTTGCTATATACAGAGTAATATCCTTATGATATACGTATACATTTGTACTTAAAAGCATAGAAACATGGATAAATTTAGAAGTTATTACGTGGTTTTCTAATTTTACAACAGCTTTGGTCAAAGGGCTTTAAAGGTGAGTGAAGCCGCAACAGTCACATAGCTGAGCTTGACCACTTTTTTCAACTTCCATAAAAGTAGCTTCATAAGCAGCACTGCATTCACACCTCGGTAGAGCCAGCCCAAGCTGTCTCCGAGGCCAATTTACACGGCAGCCCCGCAGCAAACAGCCATCATACTCACCTTCCCTTTCTGATGTGATGTTTGACTATCTGGACAGAGTAGCTACTGAGTGCCCCTCCAGATGGGCAGTGCTCACCACTGACAGACTGATAAATGGCACTCATGGGGGGGGGCTTTTCCACATATTTGCCATTTTCCCCTCTACGCTTCGGCTTCTTTTTGACCTTTTTTAGACTGTGGAGTTTCACGGCCTTCGCCAAGCGCACTGACTTCATGCAGTTTGGCTTGGGGGTTATCAACTCTGAACATAATTAATCCACGATTGTAAGAGGCAATGGTACGAGCGACTGCGAGGCGGCTGAAGCATGAGACGAAATGGAAGTGGCTGGTATATTGAGCCCGGCGGTGGGCATTAGCCTTGTCACAGACAGAAGCAGAACAGACACGTTGCAGACACACACAGTATAAACATCCCCGCTGATGATGACAGGCGATGGCTTGGGGCTGCAGTAGCAGTCACGCTATATTTTGGGTCGCGGGATAAAATATTACGTATATGCGCACAGAGCAATGGCTCAGACAAGGAAAACAAGGTAAAACTCCCAAGATTACCATCTCGGCCCGAAGGGGGGTGGGATGATGTGGCCCAGGAGACAAATGTACTCTAGGAATAACAGAGGGAACGAACAGAGAGGGCGGCGCCCTACCACAGTATTTGCAATGACCCTCCCTCTAGTTCTCTCTCTCCTGCACTTTCTCTCCTTACCTCCCTCCCTCTCTTCTTTCCTCCCTTTGCTTTTTTTTGGCCTCCCTGTCTCGCCTATCAGAGTTAGGTTGATGGGGATATCTCTATCGTTTCCTTCATGGGATAGCCTGTGCTCACATACAGGGACACACACAGTTGTGCACTCACACACGTGCACTCTTATGAGCGGCTGTCGGAGAGCCAGGCGGCTCCACACCCGGATACGCTGACAGCAGGATTCTCCCCATCGTTAACGTTGAGGTAGGAGATGGCTGGGCAGCCGCTCTCCATACACTCTTTTCCAGTGTAGGACTATTATTTATTAAGCAGGAACATGTACTGTGCATGGTTGTCATGTATGTGTATGGTGAGTTAAAAGAACCATTAGTTGTGTGCCTGTTCTGTTTAGTTACATTTTTTTTATGTATTTTTCCATCGACTGTCTATGTCTGTCTATGACGTAAAATATTCACTATTGATTTCCCTGACAAATTACGTAGCTAAATCAGACTATTTTATATGTATAGTTGCGTAATGTATATGTGTACTATATGTACATATGCACAGGGCCTCTGTTATAAGAGTGTAATGAGTTTTGGACAGTTAGCTATGCCACTTAACTCCAACAACAGGAGGTAGGTGGATAGTAGGGAGACTTGCTAGCCACTTTGATGATCCTCAATAGCTGAACAAACTTAGTGCCATGATTCTGTTGAGCTCTGCTGAAGGCCAGTGAGCCGCCACATTCACTGGATTCCCTAAGAAAACCAAAGAACCCCTGGTCTGTCTCACAGTACTGATGTCTACTAATAATCTCTAATGATGAAACCTGGCTTTGTGCACAGAAGTGCTGTTTCATTGTTGTTCGTTACAGGTTCACTCAAATGCCTTAAGTATCTGCTGGAGAAATGCTTAGAAAAACAGCACTGACGGTTCATTCCCTCTTCTCCAAGTGTCCATCAGCCAGAGTGGCGATGAAGAAGGCCCTGGTGCCACCTCTCCACAAAGGTACGGCTCCAGAGACTCTATCCTGAGCCACAGAGACAGAGAAAGCTGGAAGAAGGAAAAAGAACGGTAGGCAACAAAGGGAGCGCGGGGGCTGTAATTACAGTAACTCATTCACTAGTGTTGTTGTTTTTTCATTTTCCAGACTGAGTTGTCTTGACCAGTGTTTCCCAATCCGGTCCTTGGGGACCCCCTAGACAGTCCATGTTTTTGCTGTCTCCCAGCTCCCAGCGCAAAAATGTGGACTGTCTGGCAGTGAGCTTGAAAAGAGCAAAAATGTGGACTGTCTGGTAGGGATATGGGAAGGAGCAAAAATGTGGACTGTCTGGTAGGGATATGGGAAGGAGCAAAAATGTGGACTGTCTGGNAAAAATGTGGACTGTCTGGTAGGGATATGGGAAGGAGCAAAAATGTGGACTGTCTGGTAGGGATATGGGAAGGAGCAAAAATGTGGACTGTCTGGCAGGGAGCTCAGAGGGAGCAAAAACATGGACCGACTGCAGGTCCCTGAGGACTGCATTGGGAAGGACTGGTCTAGACTTATATCCACCATTTGTTCTAGTTTGCAGATTTGTGAGTATTCAGGAACAGGGTTAATGTGGAAGAATGGTGGGGAATTTGTTTTGGACTGATTTCTATGAGTCAGTGTTGGGTACTGGGGCTCGGGACTCCAAGTTTATGTCTGTGTTCCAGACACCGTGAGTTCCACTATAATACGACACTCCTGTTTCTTCTCAAGTCTTGGACCAGAGCTTGCAAGCAGCCACAGCAGTTGGAGTGTGACTTTGGGCCTGAACCAGGGCGGGGCCATGCGCTGCTCCACTCTTATAGCCATCCTGGCGGGGGTGCTACTGTACCTGGGACTGGGCGCTCTGGTTTTCCGCACCCTAGAGGCACCACTCGAGAGCACACAGCACAAAAAGCTGCACGACTTCCGTGACGCCTTTCTGCAGAACAACTCGTGCGTCAGCCAAGAGGGACTGCAGCTTCTCATACAGGTAAACACACGCGTCGCTGTGCAGCTGGACTTAGAACAATATGGGACGCTCAGTCCTTCTCATCCATGGATGACAGCTAATAAAACTGTAGATTATCAACATTTAGGAGTCATTACCTAAGTTAAACCTTTGGCAAAGGATAATGTTGAGTGTTGCTACCGTATTGCAACAGTACAGATAATTGTTTTTCATTGTGCTCCTCGACTTAAGATGGGGTTACGTTCAGATGAACTCATCATAAGTGGAAAATATTTTAAGTTGAATAAGACGTGGTAAATAAGTAAATAAACTTAAATAAATAAACTCCTGTCACTGAATAAGTAAATTAATTAATTACTATAGCTAACTGGATATCAATAATTAAAAAGTAAATAAACGAATAGTTTATTTATAAGTTTATTTGGTTAATCACATAAAAAAATAAATACATTTATTAACAAAAACAGCATTCAACACATTGTTAAACACTGTATTAGATGTTTACATTTGTGATCTCTACAGACACTGGATCGTTGTCATTGCCCAGCATCAGTAGAAAGTATCAAACTGCGTATATCATTAGCCCAGGAATAGATTAAAATTCAAAGTTTGATGACTACTGAATGTACATCACTCTTGCACCATTGTAAAGTCTAAATTTCACAAGTCAAATCATTGTAAAGCAAGGAGCACCTGTATTAGGGGTGGGTGATATGGCAAAAATATATCGGTTTTTCATGTTTATTTTTACATGTTTTACAACTAAACTAATTCACCTATTTTAAAATATAGCTCTGAAAGGTAACAAAACCTAAAAGAAAAACAGTAAGTACAATAAGGAAATTTTATTTATGAACTACATTTCAAGAACACTTCATGTTCACTGAAGTGCTGCACAATTCATACAATCAAAACAAAGACATAAAAAAAATTAAAAAAATAAAACTAGTCTTAAATAAAACATTAATATGGAGCCCCAGAAGGGACCTTTGGGAAAAAAACAATATATATATATATATTATTTTGTGTGCACAAGATACTTAAGAGCGTTTTTTTTTTTGGTCCCCGGTCCATTCAGGAGCTCCGTAGATAAATACCCCAAAGGGAAGAAGTGTAAAAATAACAGCTGAACATACTGAGCAAACTCTTGCAGGTGTTTTCTTTTGAGATGGTTAAAAAGGTTTGTTGTGCTGCCGTCCAACTTCCAAACCTTATCTTTGCAGATTTTGCAAATAACTGTTGTTTGTGCTATGTTGACTTTGGAAAATCTGAATAAGTTCCTTATTACTGAGGTTAAATTCTTTTTAGGGAGATCGTGGAGACATTTTAATCATTCGTGATATAATATCTTCAAATCTCACACTGTATCTACAATGAATCATTCAACATCAACTATAACAGTTGCAAAGGCCAAATTGAAGCTCACTCAGGACCTCAGCCATTTCAGTTAAAAGGGTGCTGGCAGAGAATGCTGTACTCTGGAGGGAAAATGGAGGTGACAGGATTCACCACAGGCCTGCCTGAAAAATTTACAATGCAACAGCATCAGGAAAACACAGTGTTTCTCAACCCGGTCCTTGAATACCCCCTCCCAGCTCCCTGCCAGACAGTCCACATTTTTGCTCCCTCCCAGCTCCCTGCCAGACAGTCCACAGTTTTGCTCCCTCCCAGCTCCCTGCCAGACAGTCTACATTTTTGCTCCCTCTCAGCTCCCTGCCAGACAGTCCACATTTTTGCTCCCTCCCAGCTCCCTGCCAGACAGTCCACATTTTTGCTCCTAAGAGCTGGCAGGGAGCAAAAACATGGACTGTCTGGGTGTCTGTAAGGACCAGTTTGAGAAACACTGATGTAATAGTAGGTGTCTGCAGAGTGTGAACTATCAAGCAGGCCACAGGGGGTCAGCTCAATACTGCCAGTGTCCTCTGTTCAGCCTTACCAAGGTCAGTGATGAGCTTCAGCAAAGCCACAAACGCACTAGCCAAAACACCTGCAACCACGGGTGATGTCATGTAGTAGAAGTTGCGTCCATGCAAACGAGAGAAGTCCACACCCTCCCTCCTGCAACAAATGATAAAGAGACCAAACTGTTCATTTCTACAATTGTAAGAAATGCAATAAGTTTGAGAACTGAAGGAATTCTAATAAGTACCAGCCGTCAGTGAGCAGATGCCTTTTAGCAAATCACAATAATAAGCAAATAATGGTAATGTTGGTATGCAGCCATGGCCATAGGCAGGATTTTTCTAATACAGAGATCAAAAGTGTCAGCCCTTCCTATGTGTGCCCAGCAATGGATTGTGGCTATTACAGAAAAAAATACTGAGGACTTGCCCTCTGTTTCCTCAGCGGTAGGTATGGGCAGATATGAATCCATGTTATCATCCAAAGTGTTTTGCTGAGGGACTATGCTGAAGTATGCTTGGTGAATCCCTGTCTCTCTTAAACACCAGTTTCCCCTCTTGTTTTCTGTCTATCCCAGCATGTGGTAATTGCTTTAGGAGCAGGGGTGGATGCCAGCAACAACTCATCAAACTTCACCAGTCGATGGGACTTGGCCAGTGCCTTCTTCTTTTGTGGAACCATCATCACGACTATTGGTATGATTCCATAATGTAATAATGACCAATAATAAAAGAATTATGGATCAAAATATGTCAGAAACTATAGTGGCAATTGAGTGATTTATTAACTTAAAATTACTTTAATGAGGGTTAGAACTCAACCCACAGATATTTTTATTATACCAGAAGTTAAGATGGGAAACATTTACACAGTAGTATATACATTATTTTATAGAAGCCTTACTACCTTAAGCATAGCCCTTCACAAAGCTCTAAAATGGAGCAAAGCTATCTATCTTTCTCTGGCTGTCTGATATATGCTTAATAATTCCTGACTAACTTCCAACCAATTAACCTGGTCAAGGTTGTTTAGGTCCTGAAATATTATGCCTGGACAAGATGCCAGTCCATTGCAGAAAAACAAAAACTCAATATATAATTGTATTTTCCGGATCGAGAATACATATGATTTGGGGTCTATATTTAGCATAATAACTCCAAAAGTATTTGAGGGATCTTTTTCAAACTTAGCAGACACACTGTATGGGTGACGATCTGGTAATGTCCTAATTTTGAGACAAACTGCTGCTTCATGACAACAAATGGAAGGGTTTCTGCAGTAGACTCTTGACCATGTGAATGAGTAACTCAAAAAGTTTTTTTAATACTTCAGAAAAATATGGATGATGATCTACACCTGATCCCGCAGACGCAGCTCTGGTAAATCTTATTACATTAGTCACACCAAGTTGGGCTTTAAATAAAGATATTTTTTAGAGAGGTGGGGAGAGTGTGTAGGGGGCTAGAGATTGTAGAAGTTGCAGGATGTGGGAGGTGTAGGGATTAGAAGGGATGGGGGGGGGCAGGTGTGACGGGGCCATCCAGGGAATACTTTGACATCTTAAACGGTATCTATTTGGCACTAGTTGAATAAAATTAGAAAAAAATTGCCAGTTTCTATTGACCTAGGAACCAAAAAGTAACCCATTTCCAGTTATCTCTCAGTAAGTCAGTCATGTTCATCCTCTGTTGTAGGCTTCTAACAACTCTCATATTCTCCTAAGGTCTGTTTTAAGCACAAAGTAACAGCAAATAGTAGTGCAAGGACTGCATCACTCAAAAGTTCCATGTCTCTGGGAGTGTTTCTGCGACTAGTGAAGGTCATTAGCTTGCAGCAAAATGAGACCAAGGCCTACTGTGCTGTGGTTAAAACCTCTCATTCTTCTTTGTATTTAGTAGGTGTCTGAATGGCTTCCGACTGGGCAGCATATGGTGGGAGTTACTACGTACTCTGTAGGGCACATTCAAAGTGAGCCATGCCCTAAGTGTGCATCCCAAAGCTAAAGACAAAGGCTATGTCTGAGCGCTTTCTACATTAGTTGTTGGACTGCTGCTGGTGGTCATTGCAGGCTGAAGGGCATGTTTTTGAATTGAACATTCCTTTCAGAAAAGATTGCCAGCTTTACCACACCAGGTGCCATCGGCATCTGGAATTACCCGGTCCTAAGATCAATATTTGAGAACAGTTTACATTTCAGTCTTTGATCACTGATGTGAGGACCAAGGTAAGGGATTAACCATGTGATAATGTTGACCTGCCTGAAGTCAATGCAAAATTAAACAGGACCATTTTTGTTCTGAGCAGCAGAACTACAGGCCTAGAGACAAGCAGGCTAACTTGCAGTTCCAAACTGCATATGATCGTGTGTATTTGCTGTGTTATGGATGGGCATCTCGTCTAGTGTTGATTCCAGCATTATAATCCCTGGAGACCCTGAACAGAATAAGCTGATTGACAATGGAAGGATGTATGGATTTCTGCTATACTGAATAATCTACTTTAAGATGAATGGTATTTCTGGTGCGTTGGTCAGTTTAGGGTCAGCTCCTTCTAGGGTAAATCAATATTACAATGATGTATGGTTGTTACAGCACTTCACTGAACTCACCACATCCCTTCCAGTCTGCTCAAAAGGCATGAGCAGCATTGTCAGTGATATCTGACTAGCCCTCATTGTTGATATTAACTGCCACTTTGTCTCTCTGATCATTCTTGAAAGATACATTTCTAGGTGTACACATTTACTTATGATTTCAAGAGAGTGTGTCATTCCCCAGATTATCTGCCCAAAACATGGAACCCTTAAATGTCATCACCACAACTTCCAGTTTCACCATCTAGACAACCTGTCGAGCCTATTGTACCATAACTACAAAGCTGGGTCCTCTCTGTCTAAATCATTTCCTTTCTGCCTTTTCCTTTCACCATTTTTTCTTTTGCTGAAATTATCAGTAAGTATAACACTTTGTTCTATACCCTGCAATCAAGTTGTTAAGCTTTACTTTAGGAATAGGTCCATCAGTTTAGGGGAAATGCTTCTGAGTATGCAACATTGTCCCCATTAATAAAGTTCACCTAACACTATTTCATCAAGATACATTTTGCATGATTGTGTATTGATTCCATTACGGAAACACACTTACTGAAGCTACACGGGTTAGGCACTTCGCTCCAAGGTTCTACAGCAAGTCTTGTCCTAGATCCAACAACTTTCTGGATGTGGGTACTTCTGCTTAGCTACTACACTGCCTGCTGCCTCGATACTGTACTCTTCCCTCATCCCTGTATCAGGCTTTGGGCATATCTCTCCAAAAACTGAATGGGGGCAGCTGTTCTGCATCTTCTACGCCCTAGTGGGGATCCCCATGTTTGGCATACTTTTAGCTGGAGTTGGGGACCACCTCGGGACCTTGCTAAGGAGAGCCATCGGCAAGATAGAGACCTTATTCCTGGTGAGTTGCAGTTTTTTTTTACCATTAATAAACACACACAGCAATTACCGATTTACAAGCAATTTACTATATATTAGGGCACCTGTGGGGCAGCAAGAGTAATAATAGTAATAGATTGTTTCAATAATTTTGATTATTGATTGATCATAGCAAACAACAGAACAATCTGTCGTAGAGTCCTTTGACACCTTCCACTCCCCCACCCAGAAAAAAGTCACCAAACAGTGAAATCTAGTTTGTAATATTTTAAAAAAATTTAAATTCTCTAAAATTTAAGAAATTAGTGGAGTGATGTGAAACAACCGTGAAATTATTATTTGGTGTAATACTTGGCACACTATATAGTTCACATCCCTTGCCCCTTATGTTCTCTATCTTTTAGAAACGGCGGGTCAGCCCTACAGTTGTTCGCATCATTTCAGCGGTCCTGTCCATCCTGCTGGGCTGTGTGGTCTTCTTGTTAGTTCCGACCATGGTGTTTCAGCAGATAGAGAACTGGAAACTTCTGGAGGCAGCCTACTTTGTGGTCATCACCCTCACTACTGTGGGCTTTGGGGACTATGTAGCAGGTAGTGGGATCAAAGCTGCTTGTGAACTTGTTGTAATTGGTCCTGCTGTTACTGACAGACAGTAACAGTAAATAATAGACAATGAACAGTGACAGTGCACAGTGAACAAAAGAATGCTCTGTGAATGTGTCTAAGTGGTTCTGGTCCATTCTTCCTCCACTTTATAAGACGACTCGTTGTAGAGTCTGATGGCTGTTGGTAGGAACAATACATTCTAGGAATGAATTATTGAGGAAACACATACAAATGTTATAGAGATAAAAACTAACTAAACTAATATCACTCTTAACTAGGACAGATATTGAGTACAGGCAGTCCCTGGGTTAAGAATGTACAGTACAGTACTGTAGTTACTTTTATTATTACTGCATAATTATTATTGTTACTATGAACTGTATCATTATTTGTCCGACACCTAAAAAATCGACTTAAAGACAGATTTAGGGAACAGATCGTAAACTATGGACTGCCTGTATTGTAGATTTTGGTTTAGCACCCTTTAGGCAAAATCTTGATACGATATCAGCCAGAGATACTGAACAACCATGGCTCTACTGGGATGAAAGCTGATGCTGTTTACTTTCTTTACATTTTGAATAGAAGCATGTTGCTGGGACCCATTCATTAAGACAAGCGTACTGTGGAGAGCCTTTGTAAACACTCCTGTATCACAGCTGTTGTCATTTCCAATGTAGGACTTGTGAACTTTCTTTAAAGCTTATCACCACTGAAGTCTATAGAAACAACAAACACCTCCTGGTTTGGTTTCTATGGTTTATCACATAAAAAGTACATACTGTCCTTGGATTATGAACTTACTGTAAATGTGAACAAATATTGTGGTTGGCCGATCACTTAGATAATGCTAATGTTAGGTAATAACAGGGTACTATGACATTCCAATAGTGATTAAATATGTGTCAAAGTAATTAGGGTAACGCAATATAAAGTACAAGTCCCATTAAGTCATCTGCTATACCATGGTGTAAATTACTTAACCCTAGTTGCATGTGGCGTCCCTCCCTTCAGCAGCATTTTTGCTTTGTGACAAAGTTTACCTGAAACAGTTCATCATAATAATCCCTTTATCTCTGAGTGTAGTGTAAGGTCTCATTGCATATAGTACAATACTATTTTCTTTATTTGCTTTCATAGAGCTGATAACAGTGATATAGGAACATTTGTTTTCGATTAATATTCCTGCTGTCTATGACCTTAGATTGGAACCTATTCCACACCGTGTAGAGAATAAGGCTTGCATAATTTATGTGAATTTATCCCAGACTATATATGGAATAATCTAAATCACTATAAACAGATATGGTCTCAGGCTACACAGCAGTACAGTTGATCTTCCCACATCCTTACTGTCCCCATTATAGTTTTGATATAACGTGTGGTTGGCACAAGGAATTAAATAGGATTTTTTGAGAGTTTTTAGGAGTTTTACAAAAGCTACAGAAGATGCACAAAAAGCTAAGTAACTCATAGATGCACAAAATATATGTCCAGTGCTGCTGTGGAGGATGCCAAGCGTGTTTACGGCAGCTTCTCACGTGACATCTCACAGTGGTCTTTGTATCTCACATTTCTCGTATCTTTTTGCTTTTCTTCTTTCTCATGCTTTCTTTGCTTGCCAAAGGGTGAAAAATTTTATGCGGTTTTCCAGATCTCAGAGTGTTTGCACCTCTAACCCCCGTGATGTGGATGGGTCAACTGAACATTGTGGTAAACTCTTTCTGTCCCAGGTGCTGGTGGAAACAATCACTCTGTGTACAAGCCTATGGTGTGGTTTTGGATAGTGGTGGGCTTAGCTTACTTCGCCTCTGTCCTCACCATGATTGGGAACTGGCTGAGAGTGCTGTCCAAGAAGACCCGAGCAGAGGTGAGTGTCATGGAACTCTGCCTGTGGACAGTGTTAATTTAGCTTTAACGGCACAGAAAACAAGAGCTTGATAAAAGCTAGGATAGAGATACACCACCGTTAAATTTTTTTAAAAAACACCAGTACATTACAGGAAGCTGCTAGGTTAAAGACGTCCAACTTACCAATAACTCATAATCATGAATGGACCGCCATAAAGCCTATCATAAAAAAAATTTGGGTTAAATACAGTGATTCGTAATAATGAAAGCACAGCGGACAGCGGTTCATTGCCTCAAAGTACAGCACAGTACTGTATAATTACTATTATTATTAATTACTATTTTTATTATTATTTACTGTATTATTATTTTCCCAACACCCTTTCCTCTGTTCACATCTCACCCTCCCTCCTTGTCTGTCTCATCCCCTCAAGATGGAAGAACTCAGGGCTCATGCCACCGACTGGACTCAGAACATCCAGAACATGTCCGTTGATTTCCGCATTCCCAACCCCCTTGACCTCAATGACCCCTTCCAGCGCCGCCGCCGAAAACGCCGCCGAGGGCCTCGACACCGTGGGGCATGGCAGAATACGGTGGGCTATGAAGATGGTGGGATGGCTGGCGAGAATGGCAACCTGCCCAACAGTCAGTCGGAATCAGGGTCATCTTCATCCTACGAATCGGGATCTGATGAATCAGGGTCCTACTCCGACGGTTCTGAGAAGCTGGACCCAAGAGAGACCCAGATGGATTCTCATGCCAATTTGGCACCGCCCCATTTCTTTTCTGGTCCCCTCAGTTGCCAGGCTCTGGACTACTTTGGGGAAAATCTTGCCTACATTGACGAATCTTCAGACGCGCTGAGTGAGACAGTAAAGATGGACTCCCTCCTTGATCCTGACTGTCCCAACCCTGTACCTCCACGCAAGCCAAAGCGCAGACGCCTCAGACGCCTCAGAACCTCAATAAATGAGGACCTGGAGAGGAAGGAGCCGAATGGTGACATCCAGCCTCCATCCATCCCGCCATCGCCACCTCCCCAGACACAGCGGAGAGACTGATAGGTGGATGTACAGCATTTCAGTTAGAGAGGGTAACTCACCTGGTACTTCACCATAATCACTACTCTAACACTGACAAACACATGGGAAACAAAGGAACTATTATCTTTCTTTTTTAGTGTGCCTCTCCCACCACTATGAGCCAGACATGGATACTGGTTTTCAATGAGTTGAATGTGGATTTAAAATGAAAATTCCTACCGTGTGTACATGTTCCTGTGTGTGGATGTGCAAAACTGTATGGTAGGTATGATTGTGAATCTCAACATAGGAAAGTAAAAAAAAAAATGAAAGGGATCTTTTAGCCTTTCACACCAAATTGCTTATACAATCTACACCAGGTTTGAAGCCAAGCTATGTGGTGGGATGTCTGATCTCATCTTGTTTCATTTAATTCAGTCTAATTTTCTTCTATATAATGTTGAGCAACAGAATTCCCCTCAACCTTGATGTCTGTAGGTGTTTGGACCTGTCCTAACATGAAGGAAGATTGAAATGACAATGTGGAAGCTTAGCAAGCAAAGAAAGAGATGGGACATTCATGTAATGCTTCTGAGCACCTTTAACCCAGAACTGCTGTGCCACTTCACTAGCCTGTATTCCTAATGCTGTGTAACACTCCCCCTGCTGGAGGCCAATGTGTAAATGCAGCTGTTTTCCTGGTTTGAATAGCAGATATTTTAATTCAATCTCCATCGCTTACCTTCTGTAAACTTCTGCCTTATTTAGATTTATACATTTTAGACTTAATGATTTAAGATTAAAACTTAAATTGAGTCTATAAATTCAAAGACAGAGTAAAGAAATTTTAGGAGTTCCAGGTTTAAGATCAGAATTTCAAATTGCAATTCAGTGTTCTAGTACTGTCACATTTTTTTACACTGGAGATGACATTAAGCCATATATAATCCAATGCTACTTCTTTTACTGCTGTTTTTAGAATGCTCATAAAATATGTGCATGCACATATGCATATGTTCAATATATAAGTGCATCAAGACTTTTGGAAAACATAATTTCTTTCTAGTGACAGTGGTGGCCTAATGGTTAGGGATGTGCACTTGTAATTGAAAGATTGCTGGTTCAAATCCCCACCTAGCAAAGCACCACAAAAGTTCATTGAGCAAAGTGCTGCCTCCAAGTCCTGCTCCCCAGGTGCTGAATTAGATGCCCCGTTATGTCATAAAGTGACATATAGGTGAAATGCAAATGACACACTTTGTCATTGTACAATGTGTGCTATGGTGTGTCAAAAATGACAACTAATCACATTTGCTTCTTATAAAACTTTGTCTTTTCATTCTTTAGCGTTTGACTCTATAAAGTAGTATCAGTGTCTGCATCAGTTCTTATTAATATGATCATATTAATAAATATCAACCCAGGAACCCAGGAAGTTTAAATGTCAGTTTACCAATCATAATTCACCCTTAACCAATATGGTCTTTGCAGTGTTTGTGTTAAAAATTCAGGTTAATAAAAATGGCAGTACACAGTGAAGAAATTCTCCTTTATAAATGATACCCAGAATGTCCAAAATGATGGGCAGACTGAGTGTGTCTGCCTAAATTCACACATTCTATTAGCCATATTGTACACATAGATGTGCCACATGAACCTTACCCAAATCGTGAATGACAGACTAGAGCCGGTAGCATCACCTTGCATCAGATATTTTCTCTGACACAGGAGGTTTGCTTCAGCAATGTTAGATCTCATGGGGGAGACAAAGTGAATTGCACTGTTTCTGTTCTATTGGCATTTGAGTTCCTTGTTTGGCCAACCCTGTCTTTGCTATCCATGACATACAAATAATGGTTTGCAGGACCCTGAAAATACAATCATCATTTTATGTGCTGAGATACAAGTACATAGACATCTTGCATCACAACGTCTTGTTTGTGAAAACACACTTTAATATAAAAAAAAAGCCAGGTTTCTTAACATTCAAATAAACATCCTGAAATGAAAACACATCATATTTTATATCTATTATTCATCTAATTATGACTAAATATAACTATATGCTATGACATGTCACTTACTGGTGAAGTTCTGAATTGTATGGCACTCTTTATTGTATGTTTGCTTTTCAAGTTCCTGTTGAAAAATAAATCTATGATATTGTTTTAATTCATTTAATGGAAAAGGGAAGCTAACATTGTCTTCTTTGCTTTTGGATAACAAAATTCCCATAAACCTGCTTATATAACCAAGTACAATATTCAGGTCAGCTTCATGGTGCACAAATTTGCTTGTTTGCTGTGATATTTATTACTTTGCAATATTAATCATCAAAATACTGTTTTATTCAAACACAGATTTCCATTTTTAATTTAAAAGATTTTAAAGGAAAAGATGCCTATTGCTTTAAAATGTATTCTACACATCCTCCGATCACTTATTGAATATAGCCATGGAGGACTCCAATGTCTATCCCAGGCAGCACAGGGCAGGGAAACACCCGGGATGGGATGCCAGTCACACACACACACACACACACTATAGGCAGTTTAGAAATACCAATTCAACTAACTGTACATCTGTGGACTGCAGGAAGCAAATGTTACAAAATACCTGTGTAACACAGGACGAACATACAAACTGCATGCATGCAGGGCAGTAGAACTACCAAAGGCAGCCTATCCAAGGGCAGAGAAAAACTCTGGATATCAACTATTTATTTCACCCAGTTTTGGCAAATCCATCCTGGTCTTTATACAGGTTTCAAGTCAAATTAATTTAAGGTTGATACTGCATCCAGGGTGTACCCATGTGTTGTACCCAGGCACTTGCACGACACAGTCCAGTTGTTGGATAAAAGCTAAGTGGCTGCATATAACCCAGCAAATAACCCAGGTGACAAAATCTCTGCTATGAAGCATGGTGGTGACTGCCAGCTTAAGTGGCTAAAAGCAGTGAACAGTCAGGGCCTTAAGTTGAAGCCAGAACCAATATTCTCCACAAAGATTCTGCACAGGTGTAGGTGTATGTATTTTCATTCATTCGTATATGTTACAAAGACAAAAAAAAGTCATAAAATAAACATCTACATGGTGAAAAGAAGTCAACCCAAGGTTATATAACTAAATTAGTTAACACCAATCATTTTATTACAGGAGTAATTACTTCATTGTTCATTTATCAGTGTATATATAGATATCTGAAGATTTTTGACCATTAAAGACAATCGTTTACTTGTATTTATATATCTTACAAAAGAATACCATCTTGATGTTAAACGTTTTCAGTTGTTTACAAACTTATATCCCCACTTATAACACTACATTCTTCTTTATTGAAATAAACTGGTAAGGCCTCAAAATAACGCGTTAGTGAACCAACAAAGCGCCAGATCTTTAATGGCTAGGCGCAAGAATTGGTAAATGCCATCATGGGAAAATATATTACCAGCTGTCAACTACAAACCTCGTATAACCTGCGTCCAAACAAATATTTAGCGAACGGCAAAAATAGATAACGCTGGTTGTGGCCAAACAGCTACTAGTCCTTGGGATGACCGTTTTGCCATTTTGCTGAATACTGCTTAAAATAACCTACGACACGGGATTAATTATACAGTGCGGATATAATCCAAGTGGAAAAAAGAGGCGCCCCGGTCCGCGCCCTCTGGTAGCTTCTAGGTAGCCAGCTGGCTAACGAGCTACTAAAAAACCGCCGAGCCTCTGGGCCGTATGACGTAAACAAACACCGATCGGAGGCGAAGGAGGCCGCGCGCGCTCCCCCCCCCTCCCCCGCTGTCAGCTCGCAGCCTGATTGGTCCAGGCCTGGGAAAGAGAATTCGAGAATCCACAATGTGCAGGCCTCAGGGTCCGTACTGTGGAAAATTTTAATAAAACCGCTTGCGACAGGAAAAAGGACAAAATAAACCCAGGAAGAACCGAAAAAGAGATACTAAAACAGGTAAACGGTTTTGCATCTACTTTGATGTCTGAGCGAGAATGCAATAAGGGCCCAGTCGGAGGGGCTTGGGCCTCAGCGAGGCCGAGTCTGAAACAACAAGAAGTGACGGATACTGGCTAGCTCGCACACTGCCGACATAGATTTTCTATAAGGGTAAATCTAAATAACTAGCTATATAGCTATGCTTAGTCCTCACGAGTTGATTTGAAAATGACCTTCAGTCTAAAGAAAATGTATTAGTGTGGTATTTTCAGCAGGTAAAATTCGTTTTAAAATGCGTTGCTAACTAGCTAGCTAAAATGGCGGATTGCAAGATGTCGGCCGCTTGTGCTGAAGCGTCTAGTATAAGCTTGCCGAGGAACTTACCGAAATGCACCATTTGGCGCAAACGTATTATTTTGTAAAGCGCAGATTTTAAAACAGCTTTGCAGCCTCTATAAACTAGTCCGATAATTTTGTAGCACCACTGTGATACGGCCGTGCCTGTTTTTTAATTGCCAAAGGGCGTCCCGCTCTAAAATGCCCGTTCGTGCAGCTGTCTCCCGTAGCCTTCGCTTATGTCATGGAGGCGTCCATTTTCCCGGCTGCGCCGCGGCTGAGCAGCGATTTGAGTGTGTGCGAGATTGACAGGGTCTGAGTTTGCGTAGCTACACTTCGCACCGAAAAGTAACTGCTGCTCTCAGTATAGGGCAAGCAGCGTCAGGCATTTACTCACTTGTTACGCGTTTGTGCACATTTGACGTTTAGACTTAAGTGACCCAGTGGCAGAACAGTGCTGTGCTCAAAGAACGTTAATTAATTCATTGTTAATTGGGTAACAGTAGATGCTACAGATGTTGATGGCTGGCTAAGTAAAATATTTTGCTGTCACGTAATATTTAGATTTTTAAAAGCATTTTGCGGCTAGCTTTTAAAACACCCAGCTGTTAACTTATACATCGTATATCTTGTATTGGTATTGGTAGGGTGCACAATACAACATGTGGAGTGATGCACAAATAAAATGGGCGTGTAATCAGCTGTTGTACAAAACATACTCCTTGCATAAATGCGCTATAATTTAATTAAATTGTGAGACCTGTTTGTAGTGGTGAAGAAGGGGATTCTATACAATACAGCTTTGCATTAAAATACTTTTAAAAGTTTTTTTTTTTTTTTTGCCTGTAAAAATAAACAGTTATGATGGTAGCAATGTTTCCTGTCAGATTGTCCACGTTGCTTAGCCAGGCCGGCATAAATTGTATTTAAAAAAAAAAAAAGTTATACTTTGATTTTCATATATATATATACACACACACACACACACATACAAACAAAAGTCTGAATTAAGAGTCTTCCTCATGGACTATATTGGCGATACTACTTATGAGTGTAATGCTTTTTGCACTTGAAGTTGTGTCTGGTTTTTAAAATGATTCATGCTTTGTCCTTAACAGATAATATGAAAATAAGCCGTATCAGAATATAGTTAATAATCTATCGGTCCTAGTAATTACGTACCATTCTAAATTAACTTTTTTTCTTTCTAGGTTATGCTTTTTCCAAATGCAGGAGTAATTCAAAGTTTGATGTGTGTTTAGAACTTTGACATCAAATGTGAAGGTAAGCTTGTTTTTGACTGGTTTTTCTTTTTGAATATATGGTGCCTTAAAGCCTTCTGCATTTTGTCAGTGCTGCTCACATGAATATCTCAATATATCCTACTACCTTAATTGTCAGTCAGTGTATTTGTAAAATTGTCATATGTGTGAACAATATTTACTAAACTGTAACCATTATGGGCTCATATTTTACTTACTTGGTTTAGTTCTTTATATCTAAGCCTTTAACTATGATGTCATTTTTTTATGCAGGGTCTGAATTATAAAGATAATGGACCAAGGAGGAGGGGTGTTGGAGCTACACACACAAGATCAGAAAATGCCCCATACAATGATCATGCAAGATTTTGGTAGGTATATGTGAGTATGCCATGGTAAAACATGTGTGATAGAGAACAATGAATGAAGAAAATCAAAGAATCAAAGAGGTCTCCATTTTATTTATATAACACTGTTAAAAACAATCAGTGGTTGATCAAAGTGCTTTTCAATAATAAAAACAATTTGCGTAAAAATAAACAGTTATAATTACACTATAGAGGCACTTCCTAAAAATGTATTTAATTTAGAGATTATTTGTCATTGTTGACACACCACAGCACACAACAACGAAATGTGTCCTCTGCATTTAACCCATATGTGACAATGTGACATGGGAGGGGGCAGCTAATTCAGCGCCCGGGGAGCAGTGCTTGGGGGCGGTACCTTGCTCAGGGTACCTCAGTGGTACCTTGCTGGTCGGGGATTCGAACCTGCAATCTTTCAGTCATGCGCTTCCCTAACCATTAAGCCACCACTGTATGAACCAATAATAAAACCGTTGTTTGTGATTTTGATGTGTGACTTCATTTCTTACTTTTTAAATGTGCTGTAATGTTTTTAATGTTCCGTTTTATATTGGGCCCAGAGTAAGCCTCTTTGATGCCCTTGTCTCCACAGTGGCAGGCATGGGTGGCATGGCCCACATTGATGGTGACCATATAGTGGTGTCTGTACCAGAAGCTGTGCTAGTATCAGATGTGGTGACAGATGAAGGCATCACTTTGGAGCATGGCCTAGATGCGGAGGTTGTGGAGGGACCAGATATTGGCCATGAGGACGTGGTGACCTCTGACGATGTGATTGTACCGGAAGTGATGCTTGGGGCAGAGGTGGCCATCGAGGAAGCACTTGACTCAGATCACCATGTGCTGACCACCGACCTGATCGAGGAGTCGACGCATGTACCTGACCAGGTTTTTGTGGCTGACCTGATATCCCATCACCAAGATGGCCACTTGGACCATGAAATGGTGTCTGAGGAAGTAATGGTCACCAACTCGGACTCTGAGACTGTAATCCAAGCCCATGATGGGCTGCCGGCTTCAACAGTCACCATTGATACAGGCAACGATGAGGATGACAAGAGCACTTCTGAGGACTATTTAATGATCTCCCGTGAGTGACACCACATGGGACAATACGTTTTGTGCTCCATTGGCTTCCTGATATTTGCTATTAAATGGCATGAAACCTTGGGCCTGTTTGAAATCTATGTCTTCCAAGCAGCTGTTATTTTCTGTCATCTGTCTTGGTAATATTGGAAATAATTTGTATTGCCTTTACACAGTGGATGACGTAGGGG